CAGACTGATATTAGTGCTAGACGCCAGAAGCCGAGCACCAAATTGTGCACGTGCAAGTGTGTTTAGCGCATCTTGATCCTGTCCCGCTATGGGTTCGGTGGAGGTGCACGGTGTTCGGCAATCCGACCAAACCCGTCTTTATATTGAATTCTACACAGATGTACTTTTTACGCCTATGCTTTTACAGCCGATCCAACCTGACTTGAAGGTAACGATAAGTACAGGAATGACGAGACGCTGTACAGAAACAATGCATTGCAAATACGCAGGACCACACCGGAATCCGCACTAAGCTATAAAACCATGCATGCAGCTATAAACTCCAACCCCAACTCCGAAGCTGCTTGATTGCCGCTTAGTCTTTCTTGTTTCCTTCGCTCTTTCGTGTCCTTTCTCTGAGCACGAGATTGATATCTGGTCTGGCAGATTGATACTGCTGAGCAGACCTTGACGCTGAGCGCTCATCGGTCGAAGCGAGCGTCTCTTCGGCTCGTGACCTGCCCCTGTTGCGTTCTTCGTCTCCAATTTCGAAAGCATCATCTTGCAATTCTATGAGGTCACCCAAATCGCCGCCGACAGCTCCAATTACGGGTACAGCAGACCGTTTGCCCTGTCCGGGGGTGCCTGGTTCATTCAGAAGCTTTTGCGCTTGTGTACCGACCTTCCTCACCCAACCCTCTATTGCACCACCTAATTCCTGGAAGTCAAGACCAGGACCGCCAAGTGGCGTAACAGCTCCGGAACCACCGTATTGACTCGGTGTTCCTGCACCCGCATCTAGTAAACTTGGCGCCCATGGTGTAAAGTATTCTTGGCCGGGTGGTGGCGCCACATTCGGTAGGTACTGAGCAAACTTCTTGTTCAGACCATCTTGCGCAGGCCCTGGGCTTCGTACATTTCTGCCCAATGTGCCTACACCACCGGGGCCTTGCAGAGCCCAGGCTTTGCCTGACGTACTTCTTTGTCGACTGTGCACTGAGGCCGAGGAAAGATTACTTGATGCACGCGGCCTCACGGGTTGAGAAGGAGAGCTCGTGATGGGATTTGTCGACGTGGACGAGCGAGGGACATCGACAGATGGTCGAGGCGTAGAGGCGTCTGAGTAAGCAAGAGACTTTCGCCGGGCTGGCGGAAAGAAACCCAACGCTCTACGTGGCATCCGGGCAATCTCTGTTGGTTGTCTCTCGTTAGGTAGTAGTACCCAAGAGTCATGCTTCCATGGCGGTTCTGGATCAGAAGAAGAGGTAGTAGTAGAAGTGTCCTGGTTCTTTTGTTTTGGTGAACTCCAACCATTGGGGAGTCCCTGCGTGTTCGCAGCCGAATCCTTGCTATTTGAGCTATCGGCATATTCCCCTAGCAGGAGGTCTTCTGTAGGAAGCGCATCTGGCCCTTGTACTGGTCGTCCCTTGACGCCACAAGCATCTACTGGTAGCACAACTTGCTTCTTGATCTGTATGCTGTCGTTTGGCCACATGCGATTCGCTTTGCGTAGTACCGCCTGCTCACAATTGTATTTAATGCTTAGCCCTGCCAGGGTGTCCTGTGGTCGGACATGGTGGATGTATACGAGTGCGTCTTGATCGTCATTCTCAGCGGCAGCCACGGAAGTACTTAGGTCCTCGTCTGAGTTTCTGCGCTTTATGCGGCCCACAGAGTCTGGTGCTAAATGTTCGTTGGCAGTCAAGAGGTCCTTGCGCTTCAATGCCCTGACCATAGCCTCCCTTTCCTCATGTGTTCCGGCTCCCACATGCGAACCGGCGCCTGCGGGGCCCCAGTGCTTCGGTGGAGGTGCGCTCGTCGATGTGCGGCGTCCGTGACCGGATTTTCTCTTGCGGGTACCCTCTGAGGTGTCGCTAGCCATGACGGTGGCTGCGATACCCTGGATAGCCGACCATGAGTTCCCCAGAAGCCCCGACAATGCTAGTGAGGGCGATTTCAGAGGCTGTGCGCTCGGAGAGCGCTGGAAGGAGGATAAAGGAGTGGAAGTTATGTTGAGACGAGAAGATGAGGCGGTTCCCGTACGTGAAAGCGAACCGGGAGAGGCATTCCGCGAGGGTAGTCTCGAGGTACTCCTACTCGGGCCACTGTCGCTCCCGTCGGTCGCGTAAATGTCATCTTCGACCGATATCAGCCTCTTGGTTCTTGGCCGCAGGGTCGAGCCGCTCTGGGAGGTGGATAGTGAAGAGCCATTGGAGGGGTTCATGGCATGCGGACGCCAGGCGGAGTGGGTAAGGGTGGTGCTGCATAGGCCAAATGATTGGAGTGATCGGGAAGCCGCATGACATGAGGGTTATGGGAACATTGCGCGGGTGTCGAGAGCAAGAGCTGGGGGTGTTGTGAGTATGTGTGTGGGCGGATGCCGGGGTGTCGTGAGTCTCGAATAGCTGGGGAAAGGAAGCGCTACGTAACGTAACCGGAGTTGGACCCCTTCAATCAAGCACGGCCCTGCACTGTGCCGCCCAACCGCCAGAACCTGCGATGCCAAGTCACTAGGAGAAGACGTGCAATGCGCCCAAATGAAGTTGATACGTAAGTAATTGCGGCTTACTAGGCCCCTCGTACCTCTAGGTCACTATGCACCGTCGCGTGACGATAAGGACAGATAACGATCGGCTTGGTACCAAGCCATATTCGGGCCATTTGAGTTGCGAACCTTCACTGTGCACTTGCTTTAAGGTAAAGAATCGAGAATTGACATGTTAAATCACTCATTGCTAGTGCTTATATGTACTCATCTCTACAGCAAAGTCATTGCCATCTGATGGCTTTGGATCATCTGACCGCTTGGAAAGCAAACGCCACACACTACTAATACACCCTGCACCGAACATACAAAAGCATTTCATCAATCATCATACTGCAAAGAACACCGAAAAAGGCAGACCATCACTTAGTGGACGTGTAAGTGTGCTGGTCATCGGAAAGGACTGGAGCTGGTTGTCGGATCCACATCTTCAAACTCCAGCTCAAAGGCATCAACCTCCTCAAACTTTTTTCTTATCGCAGCCAGCTTCTCAGAATGCTCAATCGCAGATACCTCTGTCGTCTCTGCTTCGTTCTGGGCCCCAGTCTCATTCTCCTTGTCCGAAGAAATCCTGCGACTGTAAGTCCTACTGGACTTTTGTGCGGCTTTTGATGCTTTCGCCTGTCCAGCCTTCTTCCCGCGCGCTGTCTTCTTTGTTGCCTTTGGTGATGCCAGCTTTCCAGCGCCTTGCCGCTGGCGGATCCTTCGCTCGGGCATCTGCAACTCGTCTTGGTCTGAGTCGGCTTGTTCAGCATCTTCCGAGGATTCGATATTAAACTCGTCACGATCACGTAAACGATTGCGCCGACGAGGCAGCAGATCTTTGAGCTGTGCGGTTGAAATACTTTGGTCTGCCTTCTTTTTGGACGCCCGTTTAGCTTTTGCGGGCGTTTCGGTCTCTTCGCCTTCGGACTCATCATCTATCACTGGTGTTTTGGCTCGCTGTCCTCTACGACGTGGTCGGGCATGTGTCGGTGATGGCGGGGGCCTGGATATTTCTCGTAATGGACTGCTTGACATGGGAGATGCCAATGTGTCACTCATGGGCTCTTGGTTCTCCTGGGTTTGCTCAACGACTTGTCTACGTGGTGTTGCGATTTCTGGTAAGCTGGGAGATTGAGATCTTTCCGGCTCCGTGTCACTTGCAGACTGTGGACTGGCTGGGGGTGACGATTGTGGTACTTGGACTACTGGCGACAGTTTCCGCTTTCTGCCACGGGAACCAGAGCTAGAAACGTGAGTGCCACTATCATTCCGTGCCTCTTGTTCAGGCGCATGCCTTCGCACATTGAGGGGCGTTGATTCGGCGTGTGGGAGGAAGTCGTCAAAGTCGAGATTGTCAGTATCGTCCAGACTATCATCGTCGTTATCCTCGACGTCTGTCGTCTGTTGTACCATGCGCAGTAAGCTTGGCTGTCGGGCTCTCCGCTTGAAGTTGGTCAAAGCTAGGATTGATCTCTCATGTGCAGGTGTCGCGCCGACTTTGACAGCGGATGGTGGGCGTGTGCCGTGAGCTGGAGAGTTTGAGCCGAGTGATGAGAAAGTCAGATCGCCAAAGCCGCTGTCCTCTTCTGCATGTGGGCTTTCAGTCTGGATGTCTCGTTGCGCAGGTGCAGTGACAGCAGGCGATGATTTCCCTGTAGACTTCCTAGCGCTACTCCTGCTTGTTCGGGCTCGCTTGGAAGCGCTGGACCCTGGTGTGCGATTCTTGCTTGATGATTCTAGGACTTGTTGTTGTTCTTCTTCTTCTTCTGGCAACGCGCCAGTCATTGTGAGCTTAGCTTCGTCATGAACCTCTGGTGTCTTCTCTCCCGGCATTTTTCTCCGTGATCGCGTTGATCTGGTCCTGGTGACAAGACCATCGCTATCCTCGCTGAGGTTGTTGACTGGTTCACTAATTTTCTTGGTTGGTGTTGGGATGGATTCCGCTTGCTGCTTGACCGCGGGGGCGGCCTTTGGCTTGCTCGGCTTCGCGACACGCGACGCGACTTTTGCTCTAGGTGGACGAGGCATTGTCGCAAGCGATCAGTATGACTTTCTGGTGGCAATGATTATCTGGCGCAGCCGAGAGAGGGTGTGGGAGGTCAGCTCAGAATGGGCGGCGACCGTGCGATAGCGATGGTGACGAGGGCGCGTCAAGGTCGTGACGCACTGAATTCACCATCTAGCGTGGAGCTAGACGCGCCGAAGGGTTGGGTCACGTGTACGCAACCTGTAGCAGAACTTTGTCAGGTTGAGAAGCAGGTTGACTCATGCTCTTTTCTTGCAAATCAGCCGTGCAGATAAAAAAAGGAGTATTGCTTGCATTGACAGGCTGCAGCATTGAGGGCCCACGTAGGGTGCGTTAGGGGGGCTCAAGGCAACGACGGTAGAAGCATCGTACATAACCTGGATGAGCTGCCCCAACACACAGGCTACAATCCACGATCCAACACGACTATCACTTTGTGCAATTCAAGATCAGCTTACTTCCAGCATGACCACTCCTAAACCTCTAGAGTACTCGGCTGATTTGCAGGAGTTTGCCATTCCTGCACCAGCGTACTTGAGTCAACATCCCCAACATGATGTCCTGGTCACTGGAGCAGTGGTGTTTGACAAGGATGGCAAGCTTCTGCTGGTACAACGTGCAGCCGATGAGAGAGCGTTTCCCGATTTCTGGGTAAGTTTGCGGAGGATAGATGTTGCTTTTGATTGGCACTGTCACATGCCAAGTGCGACGAGTGGAGATTAACAAACAACAGGAGATTCCCGGGGGCAAGGTGGAAGATGACGACGAAACAATTCTACATGCTGCGGCACGGGAGTTGAAGGAAGAAACGGGACTTGGGGCGACCCGGGTGCTTCGAAAGGTGGCGCAGTTTACATTTGAGGACGAGAAGCCCGGTCGGCCGACGACTCGGTGGTTGAAGCTCATTTTCGAGATGGAGGTGGAGCATGCTGACGCCGTCGTACTTGACCCGGTGGAGCATCAGCGGTTTGTGTTTGCTTCTGAGGAAGAGGTCGTCAATGAGCGGGCGGGCGAGATAGTGTTCAAATACATCAACGCGACGAACAAGGCGGTCAAGCTCGAGGCTTTCCAGCGCAGAGGGGAGGCCCAGCCGTCTTGATCGGTGTCGATTGTCATTTACTAGCGGACGTCTGAACTTAGTATGTGATCCTTCACCCAGGGGCCGCAGCATGTGATGGCGGCCCCGTCGATAAGCGACGGGACATGCGTAGGCAGGCATGTATGCATGGAGACAATGGCCTGCAGGTGCATGCTTGGACGGCGCTGGGCGGGCGTACATGGCCAGATGGTGCATCACAAGCGCAACTGGGAACGAGTGAAGGCGGCCAGGCATGTCTCCGACCTGAAACCCATCGCACGCTTATGTAATTGCCAGGCCGACTAGGAGGACAGGCAGCACAGTAAGTATGTAAAAAGCACAGTCGCGTGTGTGGCAGCTGTGATCTGATCGCTGCTTTTGCCGCAGACTTCCGTGCACCCCAGCGCCCGCACTAGTCGCTACCTACCGCAGAAGACGACCAGACGGCGGGCGAATCACAACATCATCCCTCGACGACGACAACGCTGAGTGAGATCGAGACGGCGACGACATGGCGGCCGAGCACTCCTTCATGGCCTCCGCAGTGCCTGCAGTGCCTGCAGCGCCGCAGCCGCTCGCAGCCCAGCCCAGCAGTAATGCGTCTCCGTAGGTGCTGTCGCGCGCCCTTCGAGTACCGCATGCTCATGATCGTATAGGCCGTCCACAACACCACAGTCGCAGGCTGCCTCCGCCGCTGCTGGTCCAGGACATCCCTCGTTCCGCCGACAACGCGCCAGCCGGGCGTGCGAAAGTGAGTGCAACACCCGTCTGCGCAATCCCCTGACGCGCGAGAGAAGATGCTGTCGAGATCGGTGGGATAGTTGAGAGGGCCTGCACGAGCCTCGGCACCTCGGTCAACCACACAAGAGACGACGATTGCTAACCACGACGCATCGCAGCATGTCACGCCAGGAAGGTGAGCACTTGGCCGGCATATCTGCCCCGCTGCCGCCACTAAGCTCACGATTACAGGTACGATGCGACGCTGCCTCGCTCGGCATTCCCTGCACCAATTGCACCGCCTTTGGCATCGAGTGCCGCATTCCCCAGCCTAAGCGCAAGAAGACACAGACGGCCCGCGCAAAGGACGCTGAAAGGTACCATGACTGCACCCCCAACCATCTACACACAAACCTGCCTGTACAAGCCTGACGCTACACCAGTGAGCGAGGAGACAGCGACGACCGCTCCCCAGCGAGCACCTCGGTCGAGCCGCGCGAGAGATCAACCGTATTCAACGCCGAAGATGGCACCCCGTCCACCACCGTTTCGTCTGCCTACGCCGCCCAGCAGGCCACCCATAATGGAACCTATGTGCAATTCATGAAACCAAAGTTTGCCAGGGCCCCGATCAAGGAAGCTGGCCGTGTAGCATATCTGGGCGAGTCTTCCAACCTGTCGCTACTTGTCCACGACCGCTACGGCACCACCGATGTCGTCCACTATCCCCTGCCCGAAAATGTGCGAGGCGCAAAAGCAAGAGTTAATGAGATGGACAACATGGAGATTGAGATACTACACCAACGGGGCGCTTTCCTACTCCCCCCGCGCGCTCTGTGTGACGAACTCGTCGAGGCCTTTTTCAAATGGGTAGCCCCCGTCGTTCCTGTGATCAACCGCAGCCGCTTCATGCGCCAATACCGCGATCCCAAGAACCCCCCTTCGCTTCTCCTGCTACAGGCCATACTCCTCGCAGGCTCGCGTGTCTGCACAAACGCACAGTTAATGGACTCCAGCGGCTCGACAACGCCCGCCGCAATGACCTTTTACAAGCGCGCAAAGGCCCTCTACGATGCCAATTTCGAGGACGATAGGGTCACCATTGTTCAGGCGCTCATTCTCATGGGTTGGTACTGGGAGGGACCTGAGGATGTGACCAAGAACGTCTTCTACTGGACAAGAGTGGCAATCGTAGTAGCTCAGGGCTCAGGCATGCACCGAAGCGTCGAAGGCTCGCAACTATCCCGATCTGACAAACGCCTATGGAAGAGGATTTGGTGGACATTGTACAGTCGCGACCGTTCAGTAGCTGTCGCGCTTGGCAGACCAGTGGCCATCGATCCCGAAGATTCTGATGTAGAGATGGTATCAGAAGACGACTTTATTGACGACGAGACGGACCACCTTGCAGAGTACCCACCAGATCCGATCCATGTCCAATTCTTTATCAACTATGTCAAACTGAGCGAGATTATGGGACTGGTGCTGTCGCAACAGTATTCGGTCGCGTCAAAACATCGCAGGTCAAATGCTATTGACCTCACTCACAGTGACATGGCTCTTGCCGATTGGCTACAACACTGTCCACCCGAAGTGCAATGGGACCGCAGCCGTCACCATTTCTGGGCTGCCTTGCTCCACTCCAACTACTAGTAAGTTTCCCCGCTACATGTAAATAACCTAGTTTAACACCAGCAGCACTACTTTGTGTCTTCTGCACAGAGCACACATGCCGCCGGCAGGCTCACCAAAGGCCAACAATTTAGACGGTTTTGGCGAAGAACATGCCTACCCTTCAAGAAACATTGCATACCAAGCAGCTGCCATGATTACTTCAATTATCGAAAACCTCCGAGCTCACGACGAGATACGGTATACACCGGCATTCATCGTCTACAGCTTGTTCTCGGCGCTCATCATGCATGTATATCAGATGAAATCCTCAAACAAGTCCATCGTCTCGGCGACGGAGCAGCGACTGCAGATTTGTCTAGATGCTCTCAAGGAGGTCTCGAAAGTCTGGCTTGTTGCAAAGATGGTCCATACCTTGTTCGAGTCCATTCTTGGCAACAAGCATCTTGAGGAGCGTTTGCAAAAGGCTGCGGGTAGGAATCACAAGAAAAATAAGGTTCCTTCTGCGCCGCCAATACCACCGCCACCACCGAAACCTGCCCAAGAATCGTCTAAACGCAAATTTGATGACATGGACTTGGGCTTTCCAGTCCCGAGCGGCCCTCCAGCGGCGCAGGTATCCTATGAGCGATCAAGACCACAGACTCCCGCAGTTACACCCTCTCGCGATTTGCAGCCTCAGCAACAGATGCCTCAGATGAGTACAGGATCACCGCAAATGAACCGGCAAAACCAAGACGCTTTCATGGGACCATCACGATCGGGAACACGCCCTACAACCCCATTCAACCCATCGTATTCTTATCCTGGCACGCCGCCAGATCTCTTCCTCATCACCCGCGACACACCAAATATCAGCCAGGAGGTCTGGCAGAATTTCCAACCAGATCAATTGTTCCCTGCTGATACTCAAGTCAATTTCCCACAAATGTCGCCAATGCAGAATCACAGTCTTGTAGATCCTGCGTTAAGTCAGCCCCAAAATATGTCTATTCCCCAGCATTCACAGCAGCAGGCCGCGGGCGGTCAGCAGTCGATCCCACCCGCGCAGGCCAATGTAGGCATGTCTTCAGGGTACGAGAACAACAGTAATCAAGCTTGGCAACAGCAGGTGGAGATGATGTCTCAAAATCAACAACAGCACGGTGGACAGGACGATGCTTGGAGCAATAGTTCTGGGGGTAGACACAATCCCATTGTGCCCATGAGCCTGAATGTAGATGACTGGTATGTTGTGTTTCTGATATTGTTCTTCGCTCCGCTAACGTTCTGGAATAGGTTCAACTTCTTTGGCATCAACGGCGAGACTGACATGTCACACCTGTTTCAACAAGGTCCTTCATAAACCTTTTAATTATATGCAGCATATTGTGCATTTTCGAGTTGGCGTAGTAGCTAGGCGCCATTTTGCAGAAGAAAGCATCTCAAGGCGTTTAACGAGTCCGCGTCCTATGGACGTGTTTCTTCCTAGTCTGGGCTGTAAATGTAGCTAGGATAATCTGTATACCATATCAAAATAACTAATTCATAAGATTTAAGCTCATCTGGTCACGATCAAGTCCTTCATCTACGTCTTGTCTACGCGCCACCATTCAATGCCTTGAAAGATTGGCGTCTGCTTGGACTGGCTCAGTATGTTCCAGTAGGATTCAAATGCTATGATAATGTTGTAATCTGTGGTTTTTTGTTGAAATGCTCGCCTAGGGATGAGTGTATCGTCCCTGGTTGGGTTTGATACAATCTACCAACTTCACCTGACTTAGCAGAATGACAACACATCCTGAAATTAATTAATAGAAACATGCACACTATGACAAACCTGCACTAATGTTTCCAAGCTTACAGGCCTCAGTGCTCGATACTTTGCGGTCGCGGCGGATGATCCACCGGTTGCCGCTCCCCGCATTTGGTTCTATACCTAGTTTGGCCTAGCACACTTTGGCTTTCGGAACCTCCAACATCATGCACGCGAGACGGACCAGAACAACGTGGGCCAGACGCATCCACGTACACAGGAGTTGGCTAGCAATACTGGAATCAGGTTTGTGACAATTTCTTAGCGCACAACTCTTGTCGGTCCCCTTGCTCCCCCTTAATCTGTAAAGCCCGAATTGGAGTCGCACCACGCCGCACGTCGCAATCGAGCTACCGTCATTGCGCCTTACGGTCTCACCCACGAAGCAGTTGCATCATCACCAGTCCCCTTTGTCGCTGCTATCACCACACGTGCCCTGTAAAATTTCCTGCCTCTAGTATTGTTGCCTGCAGCGCAGCTCCAACTCTAGTATTTTGATAACACCATACTGACTACCCTTTCACTATAGATTAGAGTCCAAAACCACGACGACGTACGTCTTTGGCGATGTTTCAAGCACAACAGAATCAGGGCCGCGGAGCACCCCTAGGCGCGAACCGGTTACAAAACGGAAAGATGGGTGAGAATGCTCTTGAAGGGACAGATACATCAGTAAGCTGACCTCGGTTTGCGGGCAGGAGGCGGGTCTCAATGGGGATTTGGAGCCCCCATGGGCGCACCGGGACTATCAAACGCGCAAACAAGGACAAACAATGGTGCCATGTCAAGCTTTGCGCAAGCAATGGGTGGTTCGCAGCCACATACGCCGCTAAATCTTGAGTAAGCCTACCTTTACAACGACGAAGAAGACACAAAAGAGCTGTGGGGCAAGAGGAAGCCTGAGATGTGGAACATGGTGGAATATGAGAAGCACGATTTGGATGTTGACAATTACAGGGAGTTCCCCTCGTTATCAGGCGCACCGCAAACGCAGCAAAATACGTCTGCGCAACAGATGTGGGCAAACCCGACGCTACGAACAACACAGCAGAATCAACAAAACACGATAGGAAGGCCACAAGGGCAAGGCCAACAGCAAGGTCAGGGACAGGCTGGGCAAGCTTCGAATCAGCAACATCAGAACCAGGGCCAGGATGATTCGTCGCAGAGCCAGTTTTCGGGAGCCGGCGATGACTACCGATTCGGCGGACAGGGGGGTGTCGGTCAACTTGGAGGCGTCCAGCCGCAGACAGGCAACATTGACGAGTTTCCACCGTTAGGTGGCGGTGGCGGAGACATTGCCCCGGATCGAAGAGCGGGGTTAATACAGAATGCTGCGGCATTTGGAACCAACGCGAATGCTTTCCCAGGGCTCGGGCAAACACGGAATGGCCTTTCAAGTCCGACGGACAGCCAGCAAGATCGGGGCATCAATCCCACTGTAGGTGGAAGGGGCCTTCCAGGTGGAGGTAGGCAAATGCAAAATCGCATGCAGCTCCAGTCACTCACGCAATCAGCATCACGAACGCCATTTGAGAACATGCGAGCAGGCAACCCTTCAGATGTATGTGCCTTATGGGATGAAGTAGTGCGCTAGCTAACAATATGAAGAGCAACCAACGGACAGCCCAGTCTGGCAATATGTTCTCCCTGGGTCATCAGATAGGAATGCGGAGTGGTGGTGACCTTGCTCCGGGCGCTCAACGGGCCCAGCAAGGCCAGTTCGAGCAGACATTTGGGGCTGATGCTATGGGCTCACCAAATGCTCAGAGTATGCCACACAAAAAGCTATCCGAGATGACCGACTCAGAACGATATGGATTGCCCGGCCTTTTATCTATGATTCCGATGGAGAGCCCTGATTACTCCACCCTAGCCATGGGCCAAGATTTGACTGTTCTGGGTTTGGATTTGAGTCGACCTGAGTGAGTGCCTTTCCACGCATTGAATATTCTCGCTAACAGCGCCTCTAGCAACTTGCCACTACATCCAACATTTGGTTCACCCTTTGTCGAATCAAACGTCAAGCCAGTAATACCGCCAGATTTCACCCTTCCAGCAGCGTACACGGTGACAAATGTGCCACCACTCCATTCCAAGATGACGAGTTTCTCAGCAGAGACGCTCCTCGCCATCTTCTACCAGTACCCAAGAGACATCCTACAGGAAATTGCCGCACAAGAATTGTACAACCGCGACTGGCGATGGCATATCAAGCTCCAGCAGTGGATGATGAAAGACCCAGATCTGCCAGCGCCCATCCGTCTCTCACCAAAGGAAGAACGTGGCTGGTACCTCTTCTTTGACGTCAACAACTGGAGAAGAGAGAGGGTGCGTAATCTCTTGTGTCTATTTTGAAATATCTATAACTGACATGAAAAACAGAGAGAATTCGAACTCAACTATGATCACCTCGATCAACGCCACGGCAGCCCTGCAATGACGGGACAGATGTAGGGCGCCCGTGACGCTCAACGGGCAACAACTGTATAGTTATGATGTATGTAGCAAAGGGCATGTGGCTGCTCTAGTGAGAAGGATTCTGTAATTGCTGCATTGTAAAGAATGAGAAGCTCCTGATGTGCATTGTCGGGTTGTTCATGATTTGATTTCTATTTCTTGCGTGTTCTGTTGTGATGTGATGTGATCCAATGAATGATTTCTTAAGTGACTGTGCATGCATGCACCCTTTTTTGGCTTCACAGGTCCGAGATATTTACATTGTTCAATCCACCTTACTCATTCAACACCAACACTGCTCAACACCTTTGCTACTTTTTTTTTATTCTGCCATAGCAAAGTCTTCTCATTATCTAATCGGAACTACACCCATGACCCTCAAGTCCTCGGAAATACAGAGCCTAAATCGCCATAGTGCTAGTACTGGAGCTACTAATCCATATTTCTTCTACATCATCCCTCTAGTTTCAACATCGAGCAACAAAAGCAGCACATCAGTATCTCCCATCTATTTAGACACACACACACACACACACACACACACAACCGTCCTTGTCGACATCAACCAAGCACATCCCAGTTCCACGACGCTACTCCATCAAAACTCTCCCCATTCTATTCTTTCAACTGAACCGGCAAAGAACCCATTCCTTGCATCGACGCACTCATTGCCAAAGTCATACGTCCTACTTGACTAACATACGAACACTGTACTTTTGACAAACTATTGAGAATCTGTATCTCCTGTTTTTTTCTTAAAAAAATAAATAAATCTTTTGGCACGATGATAAAGGGGGGGGATGGATGGTAAAAAAAAAGTGATTTTACAGGGTTAAAAAAAACGATGCGGTAGCGAGTGTAATATGTTTTTTCTCTCTCTCTCTCTCTCTCTCTCTCTGGTAAAGTCTAGACTAGTGAGAAAGAGAAAAAAACACGTGAGGTAAAGGGGATTTGTGGTTTCGGATATATATATACCGCATATTTTGTTATGTGCGTACTTGGTTTGAATGTTACTTGGAATTGTACATATTATTAAAAGAAAATACTCCTCGACCACACGGATGCGCGAGGATCAGGACATATAGTGCTATTACACTGCCTACATTGCCCATTGACTGAGGAGGAGGAGGAGGGGGGAGGGGGCGTGGCGGAGATGCTTAATGTACGATTATCATATCGTTTCAGCCTGCTCCGTCGATAGAAGGGTACCACTGCTCTTTTTTTTTCAATGGGCTTTTAGACCTAGTGAATTCCATGATCTAGGCCCCGCCCACATGTGGGCGGCTGGAACGAAAGGCGGCGAAGAGATAGCGTGGAGAAACGCAAACTATGTGCCGTAGCTCAAAGAGTACAGGATACACACGTAACGTACTTTGGTTATGAACACAGCGGCTAAAGCATTTAGGCAGGAGGTATGCAAAAGAAAATGAGAAACGGACTACACACTCGTGCTGATTTCAGTATCTGGTCATTTAAAGGCCATATCAGGCCGCAGCAGAAATGCCTCATGACTATCCTGGAGTTAGAGATTTCGAATCCTCCTTGCACATTCTTTGATGAAGAGGAAAAAAAGGGGGGGACCATGGAGACCCTGAAATCCGATACTTCAAGGCGCTCCCCATGACCCACGCGCTTTCAAGCCCCATTCGTGGCCGCTTTCTTAGGCTGGCTGCTCACGATGTCCCCAACTGGCGTTATCAGCATGCAAGTAAGAGGAGACATATCGTCAGTATGAATAGGGAACTAAGCTCAAAGCCGTATCTGCTTGTCATGCTGCTTACGTCGCATGAGACATATCTGCCAAAGTGTTATGACTTTTTAATTTTCTTCCCGGTCCTGCAACTGGCATGTTGTGAAAGGCGCTAGATGATCATATCACGACAGACCGATAGACCGGCAGGCAGATGGGGCGGGGGTGGGACTTTGCATCATGTATATCCCAAAAGCCAGTGCCGACCTGTCTTATTGTCTTTCTTTTCGGAGGAAAGAGAGGGAAAACAAAGGAAAACTCGTACCCGATCATACAGCGAACAGACCATGCGCTAGGGATATTTTGACGGGCGAGAAGAGAAAGGAAAGTGGATTCTGGCATCGTACCATGCTCATATACCGTAACTGCACGTTTGATAGGATGCTGGGAGAAGGGTTTGCCACCGCCATGTAATCATTGGGTTTCTTTGACACCCGAAGTCTCTAGTCGCTAGGCAGTCATTCGGGTTGCTGTTCAAGATCCTCGTTTGAAAATCGGACACGAGAATAAAGTATGACGAGATTCTGCAGCATGTCAGGGTGACTAACGTATCCAACGGTCGGGTCTCCGTGGTACGGACATCAGCGGAGACGCCGGGATGGGTTGAAGTTGCGAACGACATTCTCTTGAAAACTGCTGATAGTCATAGCTTCGGAGGTACCCAGCTGAGTCGGAAATCTCCTAAACGCAAGGCCTATTGGTATGGACAGGGACCGGGTTGCTGCACTTCTTTCTCATCAAGTCGGATGGCAAGAAGAATGGTTGGTTCCTCCTACGGTTTTGAAGATAATCCCTTGAATAAAACCCGGAACGACCGACAGTCGGTGCGTTGTCATTGTTTGTTTCATTGCTGCAGCCGCTGCCTTGGCCAATTTGGATCAAGAGGATTACGACAGCTCACATTGACGGCATGTCTAGTGCCAGCTGTTGTGTTCAGCTGACACAAATCACGAACAGTCTGCAGTTTCCAGGGGTAGATGATGGTCTAGCATTTGGTCCAGCTTATTTCAAACGGCGGTCCAACGAAAGTGTCCAACGACAACGGGGTGAGATTAGCATTAGCCATGATCCAAATTAGCTACACTCGGTGAGAACAGTCGAAACCCACTGGATAGTCACTCGAGGCAAAAACAATGCTTGTTTGAGGCGGGGTTGGCGTTGTGGAATCAATACAGCATCTGAATGTCGCGGAACTGTGGCGTCGCTGATTGCCCGTCCCCGGATTAAGGGATTTAGTGTTCTAACACTTTTGTGGGGAACAGGCGTATCTTGTGACGGCTCTCGTGTTGTGGTCTCTCTAGAAACCGTTTTTCAGGTTTAGACTTGAACCACAGAGGAATGTGACTTGTGTGGCTAATCACATCTCGTAATGAACGCCTGACCGGTGATGTCCCGATTTGGGAAGGAAGGAGCTGTCCCCATTCATAGCCGCATCATTGGCTTCCACAACATTCGCACAGACCAATCGTTCTTGAAGTGAGCCGACAGAGGTGTGGCTATAGAGTGTCTTTGTCGTACGCGTAGATCTCGGGAAGTGACCGAAATTGGTATTCAAAGGCTGTAGGCATAGCCTGCCTGCTTAGGTATCGATTTCGGCTTTTTGGTGCCCTTTACTTGCTAAAGAAACCAGGACCAGACTGAAAAGCCTTTGTTGTGAAGTCTTGGCTGACGTGTACGAGAAGCAGAAGATCGTACGTTTAATTAGAGAAGCACTCTGTACGTCATGTAGGCGCGGCGCTGGTATTTTACCTATCTAAGATGTATATGCTTCTATTGATAAGTGGTTGGAGGGGCTATTGAATTTTCTCTGGAGCACCAATTGACAAGGTGTTTGGCGTTGATTTTGTGATTATGCGGATGCTATCGGCCGCTCCGTACGACGCCAACGTTCGCTACCGAGCCGTGATGCTGCTAGCCAAACCGAATTCCATATTAGTATGGATTAAGGGAGTAGTAGTCTTGGACATTGCGTGATACTGATATGCCAGAATGCTAATCGAAATCTCACAGTCTCTTCGGCTGTTGAAGACATGGATGCCGTGGCAACCTGATTGTGCAGATCGGCGCCTTGCGAAACACCAATGGGCATTGCAAACAAAGGGTACACGAGCGTTTTTAAGCCGGAAGTCGAATCAAAGTAGGATTCATCGCCTCCTAGCGACTCGGGTAGCCGTTGGCGTAAGCTGTGTTGGTTCAACAGTTCCACTGGATCTGTTGTGCGAGTCTTCGACCCGTAGAAGATGAGCGGTTCGCGCACTTGGGCTAGCTACCATCCTGTAATCGAAGTCGATTCTAGTCTCGTGTTCTCTGCGCCAAATGGGCTGATTGAGGAACGCGCTGAGGGTACGACAAGACAAGCCCACAGCGGTATCACCTGCGCTCGCTCGCGCACGAGGTAGAATAGGAGCCCATGTTTGCAAGAAAATAAGTGAGATGGGTATGGAGTTGGCTACCGCTTCACTCTTAGAACCAGCGAAATGCTAGCCCAACTATGAACGATCTCCGGCGCAATGTCGGCGTGGGCGCTGCCATCAGTCGTCGCAGGTCCTTGATCAAAGAAGGGTTTGCGTCGGCGGGCCCGATGGCTAAACCCCTTGAATTTGGTTGACAAATCTACAGACGGGCTATCCAATCGTAATTCATTGTCCCATGGTAAGCAGATTTGGCTTCATTATTGTTTGTAGACGCTGGTTTCATCGTCGAAAATTGATACCATTATGGAAAGATGGATTGCTCAGTTCAAGCAAGCACCGACCCATGTTAGATTTTTTTTCGGTCATTTGATCAGGGAGACCCGGAATAGCAGTGCTTGTGCAACAGCTCATACGCCATAATCAACAAACAGCAATTGCGCCAGCATGGCAACCATACAGCGTCCAGCCTTTGTCGAGTCGGCTGAGACAATTAAGAAGGGTCTATCATGTTTTCTGGTTTTCCGACAATGCATTTGAGGCGGCTGCAGGTCGCCATGAATCTATCGATCATGGCCACTGCTTTGATGCCAGTCATGAGTGTCACGTGGCAGACGGGAGGCGGCAGCTGGCTGTGTCTCGATAGTAGACGCCGCGCAGGGCCGTCGAGTGCTTGGTGACGTCCAAGTGCACAGTGAGATCTCTCGAAGGGGCAACCTCCTGAGCCTTCTCAGCCACCGTGTCCCTCTTTGCTTTCAACGGCTGTCGTGCTAGGACGCAAGAGATGCCATGGCAAGTGCCGAAATCGCCAGGGAGAGCGGGCACAAAGTGCGGTGAGGTGCTCGGAAAATAAGCGGCAGGCGTGCCTCTGCATCTCCCCTCGGAGAGGGCGTCAGATGACGGACCGGAAGTGGAAAGTGAAGAGGGCCCGGGACAATTTCATGTTGGCTGCTGCGGCAAGCCTGGCGGCCTGCGTCCCTCACTCGAAAAGCTGATGACGAGCTGGCGATTGGATCAGGGCGGACATGAGCCTTTTACCTCGAGGCAGGGAATGCAATGCGAAGAAGTGGGAACTCATGGCGCGTCAGCCCCCATGGCGTGGTGGACGGGCACAACGTGCAAGACAGACACATGAACGCGAGCATGGGAAGTGAGATGTCGTCCCACAAGCACCGGCCGTCTCCGTCTGGGTCAGGAGAGAGGGCCTCGTTGTGTCGAGGCTGCTGGCGGACTGTATGTACATAGATACTTGGACACACGCAGACACGATGACGATGGGGGGTTTGGGAAGTTTGCGGACGAGTGTCGTACGACGGGGGGAGCAGCAGACGCCAAGGACGGGCTAGTACTGAAAGGGGGAAGGGGCGGGTACAAGCGGGGGGAAAGAGCAAAGGGCAGCCGCGGGAAGGTGCACGTCACCACCGGGCGGTCCTTCCCGATTCCCTGCCCTGCCCTGCCCTGCCCTGCTCTGCCGCCTGTGCAGGTCATGGCATGCCATCAATGCCCTTGGTCGTTCGCTCGCTGCTCGTCCGCCCGCCTGGCCTGTCCTGTCTTGTCCATATGCCTGCCCGTCGTGTCCACCATCCAAGGGAGCCCCCGCCGCGGAGAGGGCGACGGCGGCCCATCGCTCTGCGCCATCATTCCCCCCCTTGGCCCCCCCACCCCCTCTCTGACCACCACTACCACCGCTGCCCCCTACCATGCCCCCAGTCTCAATATGCCGTTCGCCGCGTCCATCTCGTACCGTAGCCCGACAAGCAGCCGCTGACACTGTGACTTGCTGCAGCCGCTGGGAGCACTGCCTGGCTCTACCCGCTTTCGGAGCTTTGCGCAGTCAACCATCCACTATGTCGGGTCGGGGTGTGAGCGCCTGTGTGTATGTATGTATGTGTGTGTGTGTGTGCATGGGCGAGAGCGCGGTGGGCAGGGAAATGGACGCTGGAAAGCCTCTATTCTGGCGCTGTGAGATGCTCTAACCCAAACATCCAGGCAATGCAACACCTGCGCATCGCTCGCTGGCCGTGGCGCCCGCGTGTGTGTGTGCATGTGTGCGTGAAAGTATGTGCGTGTTCCAGCATTCTCCTCCTCTTCGTCATCTTCAGTCACCTCGAGCGGCTCCCTCCAGGCCAGGCGGTCTTGTTGCGCTCGCTCTCTGTGACAGGTAGTGGGCCTGAGCCTAATCCCACTCTCGCTGTCTGGTCCTCTCCTTCACCCTCAACCCGCGGGATGACCTGTCGTCGGCCAGCGGCTCTCGGCCCGTGGCGCTCTTCGCTACGCCTGGATTGGGCCTCTCCACCACCGGCTGCTGAGTGGACGCCGCCCGTGACTGATGATCCAATGCAGCAAGGCTGTGGCAAGAGTGAGAGCAAACTATGGTCAGCTGTCTGCCCCATGGGTTATTCTGGGCGGCTGGCCCAGAGATGAAACATCGACGACCCAGCACTGCGGTCGTTAACCTGTCGTGTCGAGTCGGGCCCCGATCGGAGCATGCTGTTGTATTCAGTGTTCCTGCATCGCTGCACGGGACTGTGATGCCTTTGCTGGCCGAGCCAATCGACGGGCCGTGAGGCGGTGGGTCAGAGAACAGGGAGTGCTAAGCTCGGCGTAGGTCTGGAGTCTATTCGAGTTCTGTGAATCTAGGCACTGGTGAAGACGATCCCTCCCTGCCTTCGGAGATATTCACTCCCTGCTTTGGGAAAGGCTCGTTGCTGCAGTTTGCAAATGTTACCGTGGTGCTAGAAAACGGCCACCGTCTGAGCAATACGGATGATTAGCTTGGGGCTGAATCTTGATCCGGCACGCCTACCATGCATGCCTCACGCCTATACTCACTTGGCAGGCACTTCTTCTTTGAGTCAACAGATCCGTCATGGGCCCTAGTCTGCTTCTACCCCATATCGAGCTGTAGCGCTGTCTGCCTGTCAACAGTACTTCTACTGCCCACTCTTATTCGGCTGCCTTTGGTATCCTTGACATACCCTTCCCATATCCCATCTTGTCCGTCACCACTCACTTCCCCGGACCCACTATTTCTAGCAATCTCCTCTAGATCGTTATCTTGACACCACAAACCGGTACCCTACCAGCCTCGCAGATCACGGGGCTGTTAACCCTGGTGAGCTTGTGCAACATCCTGAACGCAAGAGATGAATTTCGAATAGAGAGCACAGGGCATATATGCTTCAACCCCTACACCGTACAATTCTTACCCATACCAAGCCAGGCTCATACCCACTACTACTTGACCGTGGTATTTTCCTTGTTTGTCCAAACTATACTCGATAACTTTCACCCTGGGATAGACAGCGCACCTTTTGTCTGTCGACGATCAGCGCAGATCCCGGAGTTGCCCATAGATTGCTCACTCTCCGACTACAAGCCAGCATTCTTGTGGCAACAGCCACGATTGAATACCAGTCGACGCCACATAATCTCTTTTTGAAAACGGCTGCATAGCCTGGTAAGTTCGAAACCGTGTGGCGCGATATACGCCTTGATTCGACTTTGTGAGATTGACGGTTGATAGTATACAACGTCAGAGTGGTCCCCTTCCCACATTTGTCACCACCAGAAACTCCTGGCACCAAACGGTGGGGCTACGATTTGTACCTGTCTGTGCTCTGAATTTGACATCCCGAATTCCTGGAGAGTGCGAGAAGAAACAAAGCGCAACTGTGGGTCTTTCACTCTGCGGAGACAAGCCGTTCGACTCAGGGCGTCGCGCAGCCGCTGCGAGTGACATCAACACATACGACACTGCATCGCACGTCCCTAAAAAAACCAAGCCTGTCAGTCCATCTTCTTCTTCTCCGTTGCCACGGCCAGCGCATTGACAAGACGCAGCATTGGGGCCAATACAGGCGTTGCAGTATCCCCGTCATCAAGTTGAGCGGCACGTCCCTCACCAGTCCAAGGTGCAAATCAACGGGCGCACTGCGGTGACTGCTCTTGGTTTTCTGCACTCTACCCAGGCCGAGCATCAGCGTCAACAGAGCCTAGCTCCCCCAGTAAAGCGCAGCGGCAGCTAATCGAGGATCCATTCCACCCTTGTGCCGGTTAAACCACAGAGATTGCCTGAAGCGAACCAACAGCGGCTCGAAACGAGCTTGCCCGGCTTGACCACCATCCCGTTTCAGCAACCCTCTCGCAGCCGCCCCGGCGCGCCGAAACTTACCATTAGAACCGCTACGCAAGCCTCTGACTCGCTTGATCGATCCGCATCTTAGGCTCCGGTGCGAAGCAGTTCGGCTGTAGCGGACTTCTGTCAGCAGCGAATCCTCTCGCTACTGCCGGCGCCATTGAATTGGACCCAGTCTGTCGGGACTCCGGTGCAGAATTTCCAGAGCAAAACGAGCGGCATTAGATTGAGTCGCTTGCAAGGCACATTGCCCTCCCACGGGCTCTCTTCGGCATCGACCATACATAGCAAAGCGGCAGTGCGTCGATTGCTCATTACCATGATGAATCAAGGTAAGTCAGATTCACGCGTATTTCCAACCCACATGCAGCATATGGACAAAAAAATTGCCATCCCATCATCCCATCCCTTTTCCTTCAGTCGTTGGCTCTAAGCGCTGCACTCGTCCAGCCATCACCTTGCGCCCTTCTCCGCACTCTTTCCACGCCCGTCATTCCTGCATTCACTCCCATATTGCACCACAACACATTCAGTGCATCGGTTGTTCGCCGACCCCTCTTCCCACGGCAGCATGCTACGGACGTGGTATTTTGCCCATCCGTACAGTCTGCTTTGCACGCTTGCTCTGCCACCTGGTCGCTGTGCCGCGTGTGCGACGGCGTCCCACACGTGCCCTCATCTACGCTCCATTGCGCACCTGTGCACGTTGCCCGTTGTTGTCACACGTCTTGTTCAACAGCACACTGTTTGGGTGAAGTCGATTGGCTGACGTGCAGGATAAGCAGTGCTGCAACCACCGCCGTCATTGGCCTCGGAAAACCCTTTCTCTTCGGAGGAAGGGTATATCGATCATATTGGGGCGCATGCACATCACAACTCATTCGCAAGCGTATCTGATCAGTTCAGGCGCGAGCCAGTCCTGGCACACCCAGCAGCTAGTCTCCACCAAGGCTCGATCGCAGGCTGCTACGGGACACATCGTCCCGACAGTGCGTAAGTATGAAAGCTCTCATTGGCTGTTTTCTTCCCGTCTGGCATGGCAGGCTCGGTGGTGTTGCCTAGCCCTGTGGCCCCCGAGCCTGCATCTCTCGACGCCTCTCTCGCCCGGTGCAGCCCAAGTGCAGCCTTCCCCTACTCCGAAACAAACACGTCGTCAATGTCCTTGATCATAATCGCCGTCGCACACGTATCAGATGCATGGCATACTCGGTCTTCCCAACAGGCCGGTCTGTCGTATTGATCACACGACAAATCTTGCGGTAATGCCGTACCGCCCCTGGCCTGCTTGACGACTTAAATCGTGCCACCCTGCCGGCTGGTTACACATGGTTATCGTTGGCATCACTTTGGTCAAATGGCTTGTTTTGTGAATTAGACTGACTCGTGCCTGTAGCTACCAGACGAGTGCGGCTCTGTCGGATTCAGGGTCTGCATCGATTAGTGCTTCACCTAGTTCAACTGCTTCTTCAGCACTAGCATACTCGTACGCAACATTTCCACAGACGGTTGCCACGACCTATCCCAACCATTTCCCCCCAGTGTTCACCCCTGTCTGGGGAAACGGCGGCAGCATGTCCTCGACTCGACGACTGTAAGTATTCCAAGATTTCGCACTCGAACGTGTGGAACCCGACGAGCATGCACGACCGCTGACGACTACATGGCAGAAATGATGCACCATCCACAGGCATGTTACCCACAGCAAGATCACCGGGGCTAGGCCACTCAGTGTCACCGTCCATGGGTTCATCGGCGAGAGACAACTATACGACAGGGACGTCTGCCATGCATAGATATTCACACACCCTGTCCCCTCGCTCCGATCTGTCTGGCTACACCTCCCAGCCTGACACTCCCAGGAGTGTACTTCCGACAGCAATGCCGTTAGCTACTTACAACAATGGCTACCATGCGGGTGCCTATGTACCGCCAACTGGTTCACCTGAATCGCCGCCTTTCAATGCACAGTCGGTCTGGGGCACGATTCTCTGCGAAGGTACCACGGTGACACCCACCCTCGACGCCAAGATCGAAAAGGGCTTCTTCTACTCAAGCGACCATGTATGGACCTGCTATCGGCGGAACTACTTTTCTGTGAATGTGTCGTATCAACTCTCGCCATGGACTCCCAACGGACGTCTGTACCTAGATCAGGGCAATGGCAAGCAAAGCGAGCAAATACAGTCGATGGCTGTTTCCCTTGGAGCTGCTGTAGACGGAGCATCAGGAAAGACGATCGAGCTGATTCAGCATACTCCAAAGCGCGACAAGGGCCCCCAAATACCCATGAAGAAGGAGCTGCTGGCACCGACGCCACCAGGTAAAAGTCATGAGCACGGTAGTTATGCGCTGAATAGTTTCCATCAAACCTCGGCAGTAGCAGGCCCTCACCTTCCGCTGCAAAACGAGAACGAATCGTCGCAGCAGTACTCTCCCACAAGCCATGGTAGTAGCAACTACCAGCATTCGTTTGAGCGCATCCAGTTCAAATCGGCAACGGCCAACAACGGCAAGCGTCGAGCGCAACAACAATACTATCATCTGATTGTAGAGCTGTGGGCGAATGTACAGAAGCCGCAGGAGGATGGGCCAAGGTGGGTCAAGGTGGCAGCTCGCTTGTCCCATCCGGTTGTTGTCCGGGGACGGTCGCCCAGTCATTACCAGAACGAAGGCCCGCACAATTCCAGCACATCCAGAGGTGCACCTGGCTCAGGCTTGGGTGGCAGTGGCCATCATGGGTTGGGATCCAACGGCCGCACGTCCTACTCAAGCTACGGCAACACCATGTCTGGTAGTGGTACGACAGGCATGGGTGGAAGCATGTATCGTGGCAATACATACTCGCTAGACCCAAGTCCGGTTGGCAGCCATTCGATTAGTTCATCAAGCTCTTTGAGTGGGGGAAACATTCAAGGAATCGTTGGTGACCAACAACTGGTCGAGGACAGTGACAGCAAGATGATGGAACAGCCGCACGACTACTCGTACTACCCAGCTCCCATCTACGAGAGCACTCCAAGCAAGTTTGAAGGCACACTTCCGCCACCAGATCGTAGGGTCAAGGAAGAATACCCTAGTGCTGCGTGGTCAGGAGGAGGATGCGGCCGATACCAAGGCATAGAAAGTAGCCGTGGCTACTACCCTGATGTCCAAACGCACACATACTGAGATTGTGGATTCTGTGGCGGCTTTGTTTGTTGATGTTACAGAGCGAGGATGGCATGGCCAAGACAAGTTGGATGGATTCCCCTCGCAACCACCCCGCACTTGGATTACACTCGGAGCGAACGACACACAGACCGATGTTATGCATACCACGGCCGAGCATAGAAGGGCAGTATGAGAGACGTGGATGTTACATTGCGCTTGACAAAGGCTGCATGGAGGTCAGGCACCAGCATGCTGGCCGCAGTGCAACACTCAGGGTACTACTACATTTGGGACACCTGTGCTCAATATGCTTGGTTGTGGTACTGTTACTGGTCATGGGTGGGCCAAGTGCTGTAGCTGCAATGGGTGTGTGGTGAGTGGCGCGTTGCTGGCTCGCTTTTGCTTTGTTCCTTTCTCCAAAAACACACACAGCCCTCATTGTTAATCATGCACCATGTCGCGGCGCTGATCCCCTCATGGAACGACGAAAGCACGACTCCATTTCATTTTTCTCGTTTTATTTCCGGGTACTATTTGCAGGTTCATGGTTTCTTTTCTTTTCTTTTCTTTTTATGACGGTCGGCTTCGGAGTATAAAAGAGGTGTGCAAACAGGTGTTCAGGAAGATGCAGGCATGGGTACTGGGCACTCTCATGGTTATGTATATGCATGGCGCATGGTGCATGGCGCATGAGGGTTGAAAAAGCATCTGGTCGTCCCCTCTTTGTCCGTCTGGGCCGTTTCTGGCTGGCCTGCTTCGGTATGTGTCCTGATGGGCTCTGAAGAGACGGCGAGTTAGGTTCTTGGGAGTAATGAGCAGTTATGACACATGTTATTCAGGGCTGGGCATTGAAGGCGGGGGAAATGCAGACGAGAGGACGGGAAGTGCACACGAAGGCTGATGATGGGCGGCCCCTTGTCTGTTGTATGATTATGTAGCGTCTTAAAAGCTTTGTGCTAGTTGTGTGAATGCAGGCGGCCCCAGTTTTGTTTTACGGCCCGGAGCGCAGTTTCTTTTTGCTTTTTGTGAAATGTTCCGCGGCGTAGTGGGCATGGTAGCGAGAGGCATGGTGAGGTGAGGTTCTTGTAGGCTCTAGCGCTCCGTCTTAGCGTGGGGTCCTTCCGCCTCCCCCCCGTGCGCCCGCCCGCTCAAGGATCGGCGGCAGCGGCCAAAACTTTGACGGGTCTGGGACTGCGCGGTCTCGGCCTGCCATACTTGTCACGTCATTGCAACCTCCATCACCCTACCCTGTCCTGTCTTGTCCTATCTTGTCCCCATTCCACAGCACTTTCTCTGCTGCTTCCCCAGGCACATCCGCCCACTGCCACCATGGCTTGGTACGATGAGGACAGCTGGCTGACGGCAGCCTTTGCGCCAAACCCCACGACCATAATCGTCACGCTTCTCGTCGCCCTAATACTGCCAATACTAGTGCATAGCTTTCTCTACAGAAAAGCCGCGGCCGCTGCCCAGCTGCCCACCTTCCTGCTCGTCGGCCCGAGCGGAAGCGGCAAAACGGCCTTTGCGACTCTGGTATGTATACTTCCCCCCCGCCACGGCCAGCGCAGCCACACTGCATGACCCAGCCCATGGCTAACCCAGGCCCCCTTCACAGGCTGAACGGAGCGCCTCGACCCAGACACACACGTCGACGACCCCCCTGAGCGTCTCCGCCCTGCTCCCCACCCCCCACGTCCCCGCATCCTCGCACTACCGTTCCCCAGGCGACCCAGCCTACGAACGCTCGCGCAACTTCCGCCTCCTCGACACCCCCGGCCACGGTAAGCTGCGCCACCACGCCACCTCGCAACTCGCAGACCCAAAGAACATCCGCGCCATCATCTTCATGCTCGACGCTGCCCAGCTGGCTGACGAAGCTGGTCTCACCGAAGCAGCAGAGTACCTCCACGACGTGCTTCTTTCTCTGCAAAAACGATACACAAACGCTACATCGAGCAAAGGACCCAAGGAAATCCCCGTGCTTATTGCAGCAAATAAAATGGACCTCTTCACTGCGTTGCCCGAGCATCTGGTTAGGAATTCGCTTGAGAAGGCTATTACGGAGATTAGAAATAATAGGGCTAAGGCGCTGAGGGATGGCGGCGCGGCGCTGAGTGGAGGCGAAGATGAGGTGGATGAGGAGAAGGAGTGGCTTGGTGAGGGGGGTGAGGGGGCGTTTAGCTTTGAGCAGATGGGGGAGAGTAGGACGAGCGTTGAGGTTGTGGGCGGGAATGTCGTGGGTGGCAAGGCCGGGCCTGGATTGGATGGGTGGTGGAAGTGGATTGCGGAGCAGCTTTGAGCATTTTCACGTGGGGTTTTTTTAGGGTGTGGAAGGAGATGGGCTGGGAGGAACCTTTTTGCAATGTAGAGCGCTGAGAATGCGTTCGTGTATGTGTATATAGATGGCTAGTTAATATTGTTAATTTTCATCTTCTAAGTGGATTCACGACTTTTTTTGGCATATAGAAAAAGGGCATTGTTCAATATTACTACGAGATTCATAAATTTTCTCTTGGCAATATATCTAAGTTTACCCCTTAGCTATCTAGTACTGTCAGGATACAAGTATAGAAGAGTGGATTATGTAAGAATAAGGATATGAGTATCGTAACACTACAAATGTGATGGTGGAAAGAGAGAAGAAGAGTTTTCTATTTGGAGGTGATGGAGGTGGAATAGTAGTGCTGAGGATTATGCTGATTGATATCTGGAAAGGGGATATTGACACTACCTTTATGTGACAGCTCCAATGGAGACGATTTAACACCAGCGCCAAATCGCCATGTGCCTAAAACTCGTAGATGAATGGTAATATTGGGAAGTATCTGCTGAGATCGTCAAAGTATAAAAGTACCAGGGAAGGTGGGTAGATGGAAGTACTTGCCGGTTTGCCCAGTGTTTCTTGATCCTTCCTAGATGTTCAGATATTCATTGGGATCTCGTAACCTGCTGGCACTTCTTCCCCCAGGCTTCATCCCACAGCCTTCGACATCATACTGTTCTTTGGACTTCAGAATGGCCCTGTGGACTGCTGCCGCAGGCTCGACATCATCACCAGTCCCCGAGTTACGCTTTTTCTTTCTTTCAGAACAACCGGAATGAGGACCACCTACCCCCCTTGTCACATGACGACCCGCTCTCGTTCTCAGCATCCCACAATACCCGCCATACTGGCGTAAAGGGGGTTATCGGGGTTCTGGAATCATGTGCAAAGGTACGTTCGAAAGTATGGATTAATCGTCCCCCAGTGATGTGAATCATTCCCTCAGTGCGGTCTTGTCCCAATTACTGAGGGAATGAGGAGGGCGCGCTAGGTTGTGCGCCTCTCTCCTCGAATTTGTTGATAGCTAACAGAAAAGAACAGCTGAATAGCGAGTGTTATGGGGAGGAGGGACTGGGGTTTTTATATTGCACGGCATTTCCTAGGAGTCCACAGGAGAATCGGTACAACCTCTAAGCAGCTACTTTCTGAGGCAGGCTTAGCCATGGTATGTGTTTCGAATTCACACAATGCAATACGTGGAGGAAATCAGCCACGCTATCATTTATATATAATGGAACTGTGCTGGGATCCCGACACGAATCATGTATCGAAGTAATGCGAATCAAAGTACTCGAACATGTTTATATATGGCCTACCCATGGTATGCATGTAAAAGCATCTCATGGACCCATGGAAAATCCGCCTCAACCTCCTTGGGACTGGTATCCTCCATATTTTGGTTCCAAAAAACAGTCCAAAAGCGGCAACAGCAATCCCAAAAAAATGAAACGGTCAAAATTCTCCGAACATGCACAGATTCGTTGCCAAGTGTCTGCTGTGGCTATGCTGCCTATCACGTGTCGGAAGGAACTAAACTAGCGGCGGGTATTTGCGGGTCAACTCTCTGGCTTGCCGGCTAACGCAACTCGGAGCGTCTGGCCATAACGTAACTTTGTCACCTTTTGACGTGTGGGTACTCGTCTTTTTCTTTTAATTCCACGCAAAACTTTTCTCCTCTCCACCTTCACACCAATATACCTAGAGTGCCCTTGGAGAGCACGACAACTGCGAAAATGTCTACCAAAACGCGCCCCGCCATGCCACCCGTTGTCATGAACAGCATCATGGAACAAATTGGCAACACGCCACTCGTCCGCCTGAATAAAATCCCCCAGTCGCTTGGCATCCGAGCTACCGTTTACGCAAAAGTTGAGGCTTTCAACGCTGGTGGAAGTGTCAAAGACCGCATTGCCCTGCGTATGATCGAGTCCGCAGAAAAGTCTGGTCGCATAAAACCTGGCGACACACTCATTGAGCCTACCTCCGGTAACACTGGTATTGGACTTGCGCTAGTCGGCGCAGTCAAGGGATACAGGACAATTATCACACTCCCCGAGAAGATGAGTCCAGAAAAGGTGGCAGTGCTCAAGGCGCTTGGCGCTGAGATCATCCGCACTCCCACCAGCGCCGCGTGGGATAGTCCCGAGAGCCACATTGGTGTTGCGCGAAGACTAGTCAAGGAGATTCCAAATGCGCATATCCTAGATCAGTATTCGAATGTCGACAACCCGCTTGCCCACGAATGCGGCACCGCTGAGGAGGTATGGGCGCAGACAGAGGGCAAGGTTACTATGCTTGTTGCTGGCGCTGGAACCGGAGGCACAATTACTGGTCTTGCACGAGGTCTGCGGAAACACAAGCAGGACGTCAAGATCATTGCGGCTGATCCTCATGGAAGTATTCTGGCGCTTCCCCCAAGTCTGAACGATGAGCATGTGAATGAGGGGTACAAGGTTGAGGGAATTGGATACGATTTCATTCCTGATGTCTTGGAGCAGAAAATTGTGGACAAGTGGTACAAGACCGACGACAGGTCTTCTTTCCAGTATGCGCGCAGGTTGATCGCTGAGGAGGGTATCCTCTGCGGTGGCTCTTCCGGAAGCGCCATGGCAGCTATGGTTGAGGCGGCTCGTGACATGAACCTGACTGAAGATGACGTCGTGGTTGTCATACTACCTGACAGCATTCGCAGCTATCTCAGCAAGGTACGTCGAAATTCGCAATCTCTACAATATATCCTTACTAACAACCAATAGTTTGTTGATGACGACTGGCTCGCCGCCAACGATCTACTCCCTCCCACCCCTCCACACTCACCTGACTCAAACGCACACCTCCGCCGCCTCTCCACCAGCAAGAAATCCGACCCCTTCCATGGCGCCACCATCGCTTCTCTGCGTCTCAAGCCCGTCACCACCGTCGCCGCAAACTCACCTTGCAGCGAAGCCATAGAAACCATGCGCGAAAAGGGCTTCGACCAATTGCCTGTCAGCGTGTACTCCTCATCCGGCAAGGCCCGATTAGTTGGTCTTGTCACTCTCGGTAACCTCCTCTCATACATTGCCGCCGGCCGCGCCACACCAAAGTCGCCCGTCGAGGATGTCATGTTCGATTTCCGCAAGTTGAACGAAGTCGTCAAGGACCTTGGCCGTCTCTCCCTCGACGGCGACAACGCCAAGAACACGAAAAAGGGCGGCAAGAAGGGACGAAGAGAATTCGTCGAGATCACAAAGGAAACTACCCTTACCGACCTCAACAAGTTCTTCGAGTGGAATAGCGCGGCGGTTGTTACGGAGCAGGTTGATGGCGAACACAGGGCTGTTGCCGTTGTCACCAAGGTGGATTTACTAACCTGGATGGTCAGGCAGGGTGGGGCTAATGGTGCGTCGAATTAGTATTTGCATGACATAGATGGACATATGGAGTTTTTTGTTTTTGTTTTGTTTTCGGGGAAAACGGGAATACGAAGATATGTAGATACGGCATGATTTAACAAGTAGGGTCTACGGGTACTAGATGTACAGAGACTTCAACGTCTATGAATATATTTGCCTGTTTTGGGTCGAAAAGAATCTTCGTGGCAAGTGATGATGCTGGTTATGTGAGATGTGGCGAAGTTTGGTAATGCTTAGAGGGTTTTTTTTGTGTTTTTGTAGTCATTTCACCAATTCGTTTCTGGATATTTTGAATGACTTGATGGTTTTTTTGGAGTTCTCATCTTTCATATGATGTCCATTATGTCGAGACCAATGTAACGTGAAGCTTTGCTAGCGTATAGTTGGGTTAATTCGAGCTCTGTAGGTTCATTATTTTTTTCAGGACTGAAAGTTAGTAAATGGTTATTGACTAGGAGATAGTATGTAGGTGTAATTCACTAAGACTTCACTCAGCGCGGCCTTGTGTACTATAGCGATACTTTTATATTGCTTACCGTTTCTCATTTACTTCTATAGTTTGATGCTAGTTCCTGTGAGCATCGCTTACGAATACTCTTTTGATCGTCGAAGAACGTTTGGAACGAGAGCAATGGAGTTGGTCACCTGACGTCGCTGTAACACTACGCCGCGGAGGAGTACCAATCATCCGATAATTGTGCAGACGGGCCAAACAGCCCCCCACCATCTTAATGCCGTACACTGTAACTCACAATTCCAACAAAAACAACTGTCACAAGCTTCTGCCAAAAGACAAGACAAGACAAGACAAGGCAAGACAAGAAAAAAAAGAAGGAACAAAAGAGTATCAGCTGCTTCAAATCTTTCCTTACTTATGCCACGACAGCCAGCACATGACCACTTTTCCTCTTCCAAACACGCATCTAAGCGATTCGCATTACCCAGACCGCCCCGAGTTTCGCATCGTACGCGCACTTTAGGACTGTCATGATGTAACAAGGGCAACCAACCTCCCGAGTCCCGCCTCGCTAGCGCGGGGCGCGACGGACGTGGGGAACCGAACTTACACTTTGCCGGGGGACACACACACCAGGAACAACAACCTTCACACACACCAACAAGGGTGTGTGTGTATGTGTGTGGTGCGTTGTGCCCCGCCGCACAATCCCCAACACGGAGCTTTGTCCTTGGGGGGAATCCCATCGGGACGGTATGCAGCAGGGGTTTTGTCTCGATTGTTATTTGTTTACTAGTAGGCTGTGAAACGTGATCCGAAAGGGTTTGTTGGATGCAAGTGTGTTTTATTGAGGTGAAGTTTCGTCGGCTTTTGCATGTACTTGATCTTTATTTCTCCCTCCTCTTTCTGCCTTTCCAAACCCGTCATTGAAGAACTTGGTGTTTTTTTTTTCTCTCTCTCTCTAAAACCTGGTAGAATATACAAAGCAAGAGTATCGATACTTACTCTCACCATGTCGGATAACATCTATGTCAAGAGCGTGGCGGGAACCTGCATTACGTTCTCTTTTATCCTCGCCGGTACGTTTCCCAAATCGCTCTTGCTTGCCGAAAATAACTCCAAGGAGAAATAATACTAACACGAGGTCGTAGGAAATGCCATCACACAATCCTACATGACGGTCCCCGCCCTCCTTGTCAACTTCCCTCCCCCGGGCTCACCAGACCACAAAGACCGCGCGCGCCTCCTCGGCCGCCAATGGCCGCTCTGCTGGACAGTAGGCAACCAATTCTTCCGCCCCATTTCCACCCTCGGCTTCCTCGGGTACGCCTATGCGGGCTACTCTGTGTACCGCGAGGGCGTGCTTGCGCGCAGCGACTGGAAGCTTTTCGGTGTTGCAGCGCTGATGCATCTGACGACGATTCTGCACTCAGCTATTAATATGCAACCGCTGAATGACAAGTTGGAAGCGCTGGCGGAACGGAGCAGTGAGAAGGAGTTGGGCGAGGCGCAGGAGATTGCGACTAAGTGGGCGAGCTGGAATAGGCTGAGGTTGGTTACGCCGGTTGTTGCGGGGGGTTTGGCGCTGTGGAACTTGCTTTCTTTGTAGAAGGTTGGGTCTTTGTTGGTAGCCATGGGATGGATCCTTTGTGGGACTTTATGAATGTTAGCATGAGAAGAATGAAGCGTTCCATTGTTGTCTTGAGCCTGAGGTGTCATCTTGCGTCTTGTGACGTTTTATCTTCATGCTGAGAGCATGTATTCATATACTTGGAGTCTTTTACGAGTTACTCAACCAGTAATGGATTTCGAAGGCATGTCTTTTACAGTGTACACCTTGGAATGAACATGTGGATTCATGAACATAGAAGGCAATACACCACTCAAAAAGCTCAAACATTGCTACGCAAGCAAATAATCCCCGGAGATTGATCAAGGCAAAGTTCTGCCGAAACATTCAAATTCACTTATTCGTAAAATCTTCCAACACAACTACCTCTTGATAGCCTGATCTTTCCATCCACTCCTCTCCGCAAGCCAAGTCTCAAAATCACACAACTTGGGCTCCTCCTTCTTCAACTTGCTAATGTCAGCACCATAGCCCTCAGCCGCAAACCAGCTAATCATAACATTCACTTCCGTCACCGCCCACATGAGCGTTGACCCAAAGAAACCATATGTCGCAGGGAGCGGGCTACCGATGACGCGTTCAAAGCACCCACTCATCTCATCCATGGTCAACTCGCTGCCCGCAAGACCCTCTGCACGTCCATTCCACTCCTCATGATCAACAAACGCACGCGCACCAAACAGTCCGATGTCCTCGACCGAAACCCACTGAAGCGACTTTCCCTGCAGGGTATCGCGCAGCGCAGCAAGGAAAACCTTTGTGGGAAACGCAGGGGTAAGGTTATCCATAAAGGCCACGGGACGCAGGATAGTCCAGCCCATGTTTTCTCCCTTCTTACCCGCTTTCTCGAGAAGATGCTGCTCAATCTCGTACTTGCTCTGGAAATGCGGAATGGGCGTCTTGTTCTCGAAGCTGCGCTCGTTGCCGCCGCGGTCAACGCTCGAGTAGACAAAGTGCGTGACGCCTTGTTCGATGGACTCGTCAATTAGGGCGTTGCCTTGCACGACTTCGCTCTCGTGAGTGACGTTTTTGCCGAGCGAAACTTGGACTGAGTAGACGCCCCAGACTTTTTCTTCTTTGCTGGCTTCCTTCAAAGCGGCTTTGGCAGAGGCGAAGAGTGCTTTAGGGTCGTCGAGGTTGCCTTGTACGAGCTTGACGTCGGGATGGCGCTCGACAATCTTCTTTGCTGAGCCAGAGTTGGCATCGCGGGTGACGGCCAAAAGCGTAAACTGTGAGCTGGAGGGGTGCGATGCGAGTTGTTCGAGCACAGCACCGCCTTGCTTGCCAGTAGCGCCGGTGACGAGAATGGCTTTTGTGGCGGCCATGGCGGAAATGCTTGACTGTTAACGAACTTGTGGTTTGGCTTGCTGATAAACTTAAAATGAGTTGAATTGCCTTTTTAAGCCTCAAAGATTCAATGGCAGTAAGAGAGGAACATGGATACGAAAACGTAGTGGCAGCATCACTGATATGCATGTAAGACTTTCACGTGATTGTGTCGCACAGAGATAGGGACCACCGGCCCCGCAAAGACGCTCCGTTTCTTCTGGCAGTGATTCCAGGCGCACTACTTCCATGTGCAGAGTGCGTGGGTTACGAGCGAATGAATGATGTTCTCATAAGGTTTCATGTGGCGTCGGGTCGGTGAGAAACCCCACCGACTGCATATGCACTGACAACGGCTGTGCTCGAGAGCAGTTGACGCAGACGATACGGGGTTTTTTCATGTTTGACTTCCGATGTTGCAGATACACGTGTAAAGATGAAAACAAGCGTGGGATATGCACGTAGATCAACCAAGGCGAATTGCCGGAGTTTGGTTCGTTGATCAGTTCGGGTAGAGCTGAAGGAAAGTGACGACACCGGTCCTCCACGCTACCAGCAGTGACGGACTGGGATGGCCATTGTTGCAATGGACCTAGCTATGAGGCCAAACGGTAGCTCGAAGATTTACAACATGAAAAGTCATCTTCAAACAACAAATCATCACATCTCAAGGCCATCGAAATGACCGACCTCCTCCACTTCTCGCAATCAGAAATCCGCTTCGCAACCGTGGCCCTCGCAGCCATTGCAACCCTTGCACCACTAGCATACTATCTGTATCCCTCACAATCCCAAGAAAACACGCCACACATGCAAACCTTCAACGCCTTCATAAGAAGCTACTCCACACTGCGTCCCCACGCGCTCACCACGCACGCCACCCGCGACTTCACCCTTTCCTCCTTGCCTGCTGACTTGGGACTCCCACCCTTGCCTATCCGCGCGTTCCGAGATAATATGGAAGCCATGTTTGACGTCTTCAGCAGCTTCCAAGTGACACCTCAAGACGACGGGTACGGCGGTCCCGCGGTGCATTTCTCACGTGACACAGATACTGTTGTTGCGCATTGTCGCATGGGCGGGAAGATAAATGAGCAAGGGGACAAGGGAAGGGCGCTTGAAGCGAGTGGTATTACGGAATGGTGGACTGAAGCGGTGTTGTTTGTGAAGATGAGCAAGGACGGGAGGAGGATAGAGGGCGTAAGAGAGTTCATGCATAGTAAGAAAGTAGAGGAGTTGCAGATGAAGCTGGAAACTGCACTGGGTGAGTGAATTTGATGATGCGCTGGTTGATTCGATCCTCAGAACTGTGTTTTTTTTTCAATACGTGTCGGCAATTCAAAAAGCGTACATACATCTTCGGAGACGGGCAAAATCCTCCATCATGTGAATCGCATTGCAACGTCCATCCCATCAGCACCCCTCCAGCAAAAAGAGAAGGGGGAGGGGGGAAGGACATCACCCTCATCATATTTCCCACTTTACGCATAACCAAAAAGCAATACTCGCATCAAACAACAATGCCAATTCATCACAACAAACATCCTGATTCGCGTTCCATCCGCCCCCCCCCTCCATGTTCTCTAGCGCCCACCCAACCCCACCCATCGGAAACGTCATCATATATTTTCTTCTTTTTGTGTCTTCCACGGAGCACCGCGCATGCCTCGCTTGCATCACAACTGCGGGTCTCTCTGCATTTCCCTGGGTTTCCCGATGGAGAGCCGTGGTGATTTTTTTCCTTCGGACTTTCCGGAAAAAAAAGGTGGGTTTGCTTTATTGGGAAGTTGAATATGGTGGTGGTGGGGGGTTTCAAGTCGAGGAGGGGATGGATGCAACTTGCAGGACTTGTTTTGTACCACAATTGGTATGTTTATTTTCTCGGACCAAATACTTACTCATTTTCTCTATGAATTGATGGATGAGGAATTGTGATCGATGGGGAAGTAGGCTGTGTTTTTTTTTGCTTGTTTCTTTTTTGGTGATGGAAATGATCATGTGCTTTCTGTGAGTTGAGGTGATGCAATGCGGTGTTCTATTTTCTTTCGAAAAGAAAGACGAGAGAGGCTTTGCTGGCACAATGACGGGCGAGTGTGTATGTATGTGTACACCTGCGCAACGGGCATCGTGTTGCATGGCTACTATTTTCCTTTTGTTTTTGTTTGCCTTGCTGCACATGGACACGCTTTCCCGTCAAGATTCCGTACCAGAATTCAACAAGGGGGCCAGGGCGACGACATTCCGGGATATACGAGGGAAGGCACATGCATGCAGGTATTTGATATGCAAGGTAAGCGAGGGACAACGTGGTGTGTTGTGCCGCACCGAGACGCATGTGGATGTGGGAATGTAATTGTGATGTGAAGACTGTACGCTTTGGGGAGTTGGAATTGCAGAGAATACGGAATTGCAGGGGGGTATACGAAGGATGGGCGCCAACGAGTCAGGAGAGAGGTCATTTGTTGGGAGAGATAACCGAGCCAACGGACCCTCCCGCTGATCATGTGCTTATGCTGCATGGCAATGTACGAGTGTTCTGGAAAGTACCCCGGGCGTGACGGAAACTTTGGAGTCTTCCAGTTGTAGCATTGTTTGTAGTACATGGTGCCAGCACAAGGGTGGAAAGGATGCTGATCAAGTAGTAACAATTCGATATCATTATCATTAGGCTAAATATCAAAAACCTGAGTACGCAGGACTATTCTCTGTGACTATACCGCATAAACAAGTCTCGGAAGCCTTGCTACTCCCAGTCACCAGCACCGAGATCAATGGTCTTGCCGACCCTCATGTCTTCCATGATGTTCTCAATGCTCCAGGGCTCGTACTTGTATCCCTTGGGGTAGTTGGGCTCGAATTTGTCTTCATCCTTCATGTCGATACCTTCCTTTAGAGACTGAGCACTCTTCTCATAGTTTTCGTAGGCATAGGCCTCTGGGTCATGGCCCCACACCCACTTGGGGAGCTTAGGCGCAGCACGACGTGGGTCCAACTTAACCTTATCCCAATCGGTGTCTTGAAGGAGCTCGGCATTAGAGAAGCCTAACTTTTGAGCGCAAGAGTTGCGAATGAAACTTTGATTGCGAGTCAGTCTCAGTGCAGATGTAATTAGGGGAAACAAAGTAGGCGCTTACCGGAATCGGATGTGGACACGAACAGACTGAGGAATGTTCTCCTTGCCGCCAATCTGGAGACACGAAGCTATTGAGATAGCATCCTCAATTGCTTGTGTTGCGCCGTTTCCAGAGGCCGGGAGATAAGAGTGTGCGGAATCGCCGATTTGAATGACGCGAGCACCAGGGGAGCACCAGCTTGGCTGGGGATTACGCCAAAGCAGTTCAAAGTTGACAATCGTGTTGGGTGGTGTTACTTCGACAAGTTGCTTGAAGATCGGAGCCCACTTGATCGTCTCCATGCCAGGCATGGTGTCCATGCCGTCGAGTACCTCTTGCTTATCGATCGTGTTGCTCCAACTTTCTTTTTCAGTACCAGTAACCTGAAACACTTTAGTTGGGCTTCTCAGCGACGCTTAGTCTGACGCCTACATCGTGGTTCATAATCCAGACCATGACATCTTCACGGGACAGAGTAAGAGCGTATGTGGATGGGCTAGAGCAGGTCAGAACAATCGCATGCTGGGTCGCAAATCACTACGTACCCTAGCCATGTCCTCACGATAGGCTCGTTTCCAGGCATCATCTTGAAGAACTCCTCGACCTCGGGGTCCTTGGCCAAGGCTTCCCTGGGGAAAGCAGCGCGCCACATAGCCCTGCCTGAGGGTTTTGCGCGCACCTGTCCGCCGACCAGCTTCTGACTCTTGGAACCAACACCATCGGCTGCAATCACAACATCTGCCTCATAGCGTTTGCCGTCATCGGTAACGCAGCCACCCTTCCCTGTCTGTTCATCCTCAAAGTAGTCAATGACCCTGCGGTTGAACTCTACAGAGACACCAAGGTTCTCGACTGCGCTCACAAACATCTTGTACACGAGCGGGCGCATCTGGAACTCGCCAGGCGGTGTGTCGGGGTCCAGCCCCTGGGCACGCAGACGGTCCGCGACCTTCTTGGGCCCGATAACAACCTCACCCGAGTGTTTGAAGGTCTCAATCCAGGCATTATGAAGTGATATTTTCTTGTATTCCTTGAGAAGTTCAGGCCAGTGCTTCAGGAACCGTGTCGCGCTGAGGCCCATGAAATACATGTCACCTGAAGTTGATCATAAGCAATATGCTCCACGCTAGACCCCTAGGTGCCTGCTCACCAGCTGTGTTAATGTCGGCATTCCTTTCCAAAACTCGCACATTGTGGCCTTTGCGCGTGCACTCGAGGGCGGCAACTAATCCAGCAAGACCAGTCCCAACAATCAGGACATCGATGCCAGTCTTGGGATAAGACCCTATTGGCTTCGACTCCATGGTCGAGTCACGGGAGGTGAGTGCGTGAGGCATGATGGCGATTTCTTTCGTAGAGTGTAAAGGGAGGATGAGAGAGGGAGTGTCGTCGAAGCCGACATGAACCCCAACATGCCTGCTTTTCATACACGTCGAATCTTCGCTGTGCTGGCATTGTCCGTTGGGGTACCAGCAAGGGTTGCCGAAGGCCTCTCGGATGTCCGGGTGGTCGGTCAGCTTCAAACATACGTTCTTTTGCGATCGCACGACGACAGTCACGCAATGCAAGCATCAACACCTTTAGTGGCAGATGTCAGGAACGCGGTCTGTTGAGCTTGCGCTACGTCCGATAGTCATGACGCTAACTAGAAACTCCCGGGAGTACTTTACGCCCGTGCATGCAGCGCTATGGTTCCCCACAAACTCCGGAAGCCAAGCTTGTCGACGGTACACTAAGTCAACTCTAAGAAAAGTGGTTTATCAAGCCTCCCATGTAAGATGCAGACGCTTGTCAGATGCTGTGGATCATCGCAGCCTATGATGGTTTGCAGACGATAGGACACCGCCACTCATGTGATTTGAAAGCCGTTTTACATGGCTGGTTTCAACCACCTTCCCTAATGATACCCCTAGTTTTCTATGCATAGCTATTGGAGACGTCATGACATTCAAGCGAGCCGTGTTGCATGTCTTTGCGCGGAACTCAAGGCCGAAGAGACCTACATCTGCCAGAAGGGGACCGGGGTAGGCTCTCAGTACACGACGTGCCACACTCTTGCAGAGTATCAGGGCATGACTTGGTACACAACATGGCGCCCCAAAATGGATTGTGACACTTGGATGGAAAATCTTGACAATATAAAACCTCGCCGAGGAGAGTACAGCAGCGTGACCATGTTTCCGATACCCAATAGGAGGGTTTTTTGCAGATAGCAAGGCTGTCTTTTGGGGGCAAAAGGTCGTGGCTTTCTCGCAAAAAGTAGGGTAACAGGGGGTCGGCTGGTAGAATGATGTTTCGTCACTCGCATCTAGTCCTCGTGGCTATGCTTGGCTGGTCTGGTACGTTCACATCCAAGCATCAGCGCTTAGTCCATGACGATCTCTATTCTCTTTGGGCCCACCCAGACATCCTGGACCTAATCTGAACCATCTCAACGTGTCATAAGTCGGTGTTCGTCAGCACCGACCTTGACATTTTCCCATTGCTCGGGGGTATCAGGATGTCGAGTAGGCAAGGATGTTGTTGTCGTGGGGTCCTGACCAAATATTGGCTCGGCATATTTCCATCGATGTCCATTGGACAGCATGATGTCTGTCCCTCGAAGCGAAACTTAGGCCATATCGGTGATGCCTATGTTCACGCCGATGGATGTAGGGTCATGGATCGTCTCATCCCACTATCAGTCCCTGTATGCTCGTACATAAAGCACGTCCTGGGGAGCCGGAGAACAGATTGTGTACCTGACAGCTGTGGTGTGATATCTACCAGGCTTCTCACGCATCTTTGGTCGTTGTCAGTGTGTCCTCATTTACTTCCCGTTCTCGTACCTGTTTTCGTTCTCGAGGCTTGGCTACCGGCTGTCGACGCCTACCATATTTGACCCATACCTTTCGACACTCTCCTTAATCACACTTGCGTTACCGACATGCATTCTTTCACGGTGTATGCGCTTGGCGTGGCAGTTGCTGGCCTTGTCGTATACGCTGTATTGGACGCTGTCGCCAAGTACGACAAGCGATACAATGTTCAGAACATGCCTGGACCACGGCTGGTCCCGTGGATTGGTCGTATTCACGACCTTCCCATCGAGTTTATGTGGCTGAAGTTCAAGGAGTGGTCGGACATGTATGGCCCCATCTACCGGACCAAGATGTTAGGCGACAACTTTGTCATAATCTCAGACGAAAAGCTTGCCGAGGAAATGCTGGTGAAGAAAGCCAAGGTGTATTCAGACCGACCTGAGATCAAGTCGTTGTTCGATGCGAAGAGCACATATGGTTCCATGGAGTATCTGCCCCTTATGGGCAAGAATCGTACGTTGACCCCTAGCGGGCGAAGGATGAATCGGACTGACAAGACAATAGAGTACTGGGCTCGTCAGCGAAAGTTTACACACTCTTACCTGACCGGCGCAACCAATGTGCAGTACAATGGTATCATGGAGTTCGAGGCCAAGCGATGGATGGCCAGGCTTTTGGAGAACCCCGATGACTTCTCTGCCTCCCTCGAGGACATGTGCTCCAAGGTCATGTGCCAACTGACATGGGATGATGCCTCACTTAGTACCCCTCTTACCCCTAGCGCGTGGGGTCTGCTTACACAAATGTCCCCTGCCGGTCCAATCACCAACGTTCTTACTCCTCTTTGGGACTACTTGCCCGAGCCCATCAACCCGTGGAAGATTCGTGAGCGTAAGCGCCATGACGACCAACAAGCCTTTTTCATGGAATGCCTACAGAACACTAGGAGGAAGATGGAGAAGGGCCAACAACGAGCCTGCTTCACCAAAAACTACCTTGAGACTGCCGAAAAGTCAAACATCTCTGGCGATTATGAGGCCTCGTGTGTCATTGGAATGATGGCGCTCGTTGGCATCTTTACTGTTACCGGACCTATTTACTACTTCTTGATCAGCATGGTTCACCACCCAGAGTGGCAGGTCAAGTGCCAGAATGAGATTGATCGTGTTTGCGGTGACAAGCCTCCTTCTGTTGCTGACTTGCCAAACCTTCCCATCTTGCGCGCGTGTATCAAGGAGACAATGAGGTGGAAGCCCACTGTTCCAACTGGTATGTCAGTTTGCTTAAGTTGACTGCATTTGCACTAACCGGGAAAATAGGCGTTGCGCATGAGGCCGAAGCAGACGATTGGTTCCATGGTTACTTTATCCCCAAGGGTACGCGCATCCTCCCTCTTGACTATGCCTTTCTCCGCAACCCTGTCAAGTACCCTGAGCCTGAAGAGTTCCGTCCCGAGCGGTGGTTGGAGCCCGAGTGGCCTACGTTCCAAGCGCCATTGACCAAGTACCCTGACATTGTGGGCATGACGTCCTTTGGGTGGGGTCAGCGTCAATGTCTAGGTATGTCCATTACTCGGGACGAGACGGTGACAGGTTGCGGAGCGCTCATGTGGGCCTTCAACCTGAAACGCAAGATCGACCCTGTCTCGGGCCAAGAGATCGAGGTACCCCTCAACAAGTCCAACTCGCTTCTCATCATCAAGCCAGACCCATGGGAGATGGCCTTTGAGCCGAGAAGCGCAGAACGTAAGCAAGAGGTGATTCAATTGTGGGCAGAGGCTGAGGCCAAGGATAAGGCGGAACGCGCCGAGTTTGCGCGACAGGCTGAGATGGAGCAGGTTTTGGGGCAACCTTAGATATTGTTTGATACCCGTGTACTGAAGCTGTTGAAGGGTGCAACAGTGTGGCTGGGCGTTTGTAAACCATGGTTTCCTTTGTTTTATTTTAGTGCAGCGGCACATATTTCCTTTGTCGTCATAATAGGTAGCTATAATGCATCTCTTTGACCCCTGTACTAAAGCTGGTGTTGATGGTTTTTTGTGTCCCGAAATTCGAAAGAGTAGAAAAGGCCGTGGCATGGCTAATTTTGACAAGCGCGAGTGATGTTAGATATGTAGAGCGTCCGGCGACTCGTATTCGCAGTGAGGAGCCGGCCACGGGGCGCTATGCTGGGCTGAGCTGAGCTGAACATGGCGCGCTCTGCCAGCCCAGAGACTATGGTGCTGGACATCCGTGTCCGGTGCGATCAGAGGGCGAAGACGAATGCGGAGCTCCGTAATTACGTAGCGGAGTGAAGGATCAGGGCGCATGAGGATGCATGCAGACTACGTCTGCCCTGACATGGAATACTCCAGTTACCCCTCTATTGACGGCGCCAAGAAGCATCATGTGACTGCTCTGCGAGCTATGGTGTTCTGTAATAGGCGGCTAACTTATGCCCCTCCATCCGCCCTTGGTCTTTTAAAAGCTGCCCCTCATCACTTTGTTCAACAACACTCCATCCTCACACACTTTTGTTTGCACATACAAATCCTATCCCCATCAAAATGTCCAACCCCCGTGTTTTCTTCGACGTCAGCATTGGCGGCCAGCCCGCTGGCAGGATCGTCATGGAGCTCTACGCAGACAAGGTCCCCAAGGTGAGTACCCCGCCGTCAGAATCTGCACCATCGCTCTTGTTTTGTCTTTTCAAGCGCTCCAAGTAGTGAACCACCAGCTAACCACCATTGACAGACTGCTGAGAACTTCCGCGCCCTCTGCACCGGTGAGAAGGGTACCGGCAAGTCTGGAAAACCCCTCCACTACGAGGGCTCCGTCTTCCACCGCGTCATCCCCCAGTTCATGCTTCAGGGTGGTGACTTCACCCGCGGCAACGTACGTAATTGCTATAACCGAGTCTATCAACGAAGAGCAGCTGGCTGACGTAGCGCAGGGCACCGGTGGTGAGAGCATCTACGGCGAGAAGTTTGAGGACGAGAACTTCAACCTAAGGCACACTGGACCCGGTGTTCTCTCCATGGCCAACGCTGGACCTGGTATGTTTACAATGTTATGTATGCGCGGGCAGGGCAAGCTAACCAAGTCGTCTAGGTACCAACGGTAGCCAGTTCTTCATCTGCACTGTCAAGACTTCATGGCTGGACGGCAAGCACGTCGTCTTCGGCCAGGTTGTCGAGGGCATGGACGTTGTCCAGGCTGTTGAGAAGGTTGGCTCTCAAACTGGCAAGACCAGCAAGGAAGTCAAGATTGAGAAGTCCGGTCAGCTGTAAATGCTTGGCCTAGCTGCCAAGTCTGACTTTGGGTGATGCGAGCGGATCGACGATGACGATGATTGACGATATCAACAAGTCAATGAGCGGCACTGGTCAGTCGTAGTACCAAACTGGGAAATGATATAGACTCTTGCGCGCAATGTTTCTCCCATGATTGTACTTGCTGTGATGTATTTGTGTGCAATGTGAAGATTGTCTTGAGAGGTGATTTCCGGTTTTTTCATTTGTCGCCGGCAGTTGGAGCAAAGGTGGGGCTTGCATGGGCGGATTGGACAGACGGGTACCGGCTCCGCCTCACTCGGACGGGTATGGGAAGGGTTCAAGCGGAGTGATGGAGGGTGTGTCTTAGTAATTGGACAGATGGCCATGTACATTTACTAGATACGTACGTACTGTGCTTTGATGGTAGAAACATGGCATGGTGGGGGCTTTGGTGATTGCCGTTTCTGGAAGGGCAGCAAAACGTCTAGAAGGCTTGGGGGCACGTAACTGAAGCGCTGGCAGTGCGCTTAGCCCAAATAGAAGAGAAAGTGGAAAAAGATGGATACAGGGGCGCAAACATGGAACAAGCCTACCAAAGAAGCCAGTCTTTTATCGATGCCTGACTCGGCATCTTGATTGTGAGTTGTGAAGTTTGATTAGAGCAAATTTTCCAGACATGACGTGTGAATTGGATTATGAGTTGTTGTCCATGTTGTTGTCGTTGCGTCGTGCTTGTTCTTCTTCAAAGCCACCGCGTACCCCGCCTTGATTGGCTCCACAATTCGTGCAGCCAGGTAACCTTTTCATCCTGGGGTAGAATGCAGAACGGAAAAAAGGAAGAAAAAAAGGATAGAGAAGAGGCTGCAAAGTGATGCAATCAAACAGTATGGGTGGCGCAGAGAAAGAAAAGGTGTGTGGGGATACATTTATCGTATAATCACGTGTGGTGCGCCAGGTTGCCACACAGCAAGCCGCAGAGTAACCAACGACGCTGGCATTCGACAAGCAAGAATGGCGCGAGTGATGCCCAACGGCTTCCTTGTGCCAGGGCCCTGCAATGTTGTCGCTCACCATCTTCGATCTCCGTGACGATCATGTTCACTCACCCGTCGTGGGGGATTTCAGTCACTGGGCAATGGGTCAGGCAGCTAGCGGCCGTAGTTGGATGGGAGGCTGGTCCTTGTCAAGGCAGCGTCCAGCCTCGTTGCGTCAGAGAGGCGGTTGCATACTCGGCCGCGACCCAAGGGATATACAATTGCAAGCCGACGGCTGCCGCAAGATACCGTATAGGACATACATACATACATACTTGGATATCGCGCATACTACATAGTACGTACAAACATATGTAATACAAGAGCGTGGGATATGACGTCGGCATCGGAGTCGACATGATGGCTAAATGCCACACAGCGGAAGAGTCTCGCCATTGTCTGCTGACAACCGGGACAGGGCATGGAGAAACAGCATGAAATATCGATACACGTGGGAGGATCAGCCACCAAGGAGCGTCCCGTAAGTGCCCGGATCCGATGGGCGACCGGGAGCTCGTCTCGCAACAGCCACTGCGGTTCCGAACATGGGGAGTGCTGGTGCTTCTGTCGGCTGTGTCGCCGCGGAGTGCTTGCTGGGCGAGATTGTTTCCTCTTTGTTTCAACGGTAGGCGAGAGTTGCGGATGGTGCAGACGGCGCAGGAAGCGTCGCGGTTTGGCAATGGAGCACTCAATTGCACTCGGCCGGTTGTCATGGCGCGCGTGGGCGTTGGACAAGGTTGGTGGAGGAGGAGGGTCAGCGGACGACGGCGATTCGCCGAGGATGCTGCAGCGGACCCGATGCAGGCAAAGTCAGATGGCCTAGGAGGTCTAGATGGTTGCCAACGGCGCTGACGATTAGCTGCAAGCAGCCAAGGCCCATTGAGCGTGTGCAGCGCGCTGCGCGCTGCGCGCAGGTTGCAGTGCTTCGCAGCCATCTTGGTTGACGCTGATCGACCGCATTGGGAACGATCAACCGGCCTCGAGGCATCCAGAACCCCGCGAGCACACCACTACTCTCCCTCTCTCACCCACCCCCATCCTCCCTCATCCCACCCACGCACGCTATGCGCTGCGCCTCCATTCGTGCTGCTCTCTCACCCACAGGCTGCACTTTGTATTAATCCCCCCTCTCGGCCCTTGCGCCCGCCTTGTGCCAGGTCACCCTTTCGTCAGCTGTCTCAGATCGCTGCGCCGCCTGCTTCACCCCAGGCCCCAGTCTCTCGTAGTCTATGTATACGCTTGTCTGCGTTGCACTATAACGCCATTCAAACACACAATAAACCATCTATTCACACTCTCCGCCTCTGCTCCCGAGTATCCCTTTGATCGCGTGGCTGTCGACACGTCACATCCCATACACACACACACCGCACACACATCACGTCATGGCGCCATCCGGGCATTGGCGACAGTATCAGTCCAGCAACAGTACCACTTCAGGTCGCAGTGAACACAGCGACCGTTCCTACGAAACAGCCCCAACAGAGTACAGCGGCCGGAGACCGTCTCTGGCCTACAGCGAAACATGTCATGGCCGCATACAAGGACGCTATCAGGAACATGATTACGCTACGCCTCGATATCAAGTCGAACCTTACCAGCAGTTTCCTCCACGCTCATCAGTCGACACATATGCATCGACATCAGAAGAGGATCTCGCCGATGATTTCGAAGGCATGCCCGACTACGATGTTCCCGTATATCGTCACGAGCCGCTGGGCGGCGATGCCATTCCCACCACACCCCGCGACTTTGGAGAGCTCTTCCCCACGTCAAAACGCATATCAATACGACACGACGACTCGACAATTGATGGAAACATGAACCTGAGGGTGGACACACAGGTTGAGGATCGATCACACCGAAAACAGAGCTACACTCTGTTCCATCTCCGCATGCAGGACCTTCGCACCCGTCAATTCTCGCTTCGTCGCTACTGCAGAGACTCTGGCCGTGAGGTTTGCCACTCAACACGCAAGTACCAGAAGCCCGCCACCGAGATGCGGCCAGTGCTGCAGCGTGCCAGCACAGCCCTCGCTAGCCTTGTCAAATCCGAATCCCGCCCCTCGACATCAGCTGGCCTGAAGCGAGCAGACTCGGGATATGACTCAATGCACCACATTACTCGCCGCGACGACGACGATGATGACGACGACGAGCTAGTTGAGTCACGTCCCAAAACCGTGGGCTACTCCAAAGGCCGGGCACTGATTCCGACGAATACCATCAAGCTCGAGTTTTCCAACTACGCCCACATTGATGTTAAGAGACGTGGCGCCAAGTCTTACAAGAAGTATGCGTTTGAATACTGGGGCAACGACTATTCGTGGAAACGCATCATTAAGAAAGAAGGCCAGCAAGAATCCATTTCCTACTACTTGGTCCGCGACGACAACGACAAGGAGCCGCTCGCTCACATCTGTCCTGTGCGCGTGACACCCAGCGAAGCGCACGAGGAGGCTGCGAGGGGTGGCTGGGTGCCCCCGTGCTATATGCGCATCACCGATGAGCGGATCCTGAGCTCCGACTCGGACATATCTGAGTAAGTCACAAACGACGACCCCGCCGCTACGACAGGCAGCAAGCTAACATTGATAAACTAGTGTTGTGGTTGCAACGGGTCTAATGGCACTTGTGGATGACTGCATCAAGCGACGTTTTCACTCGAAGCAGACTACGCACATGCACATTCCGCTGCTGCGCAACTCATCGTTCAAGATGGCCAATCTGGAGTACATTGGACCCAGGCGGTTGATTGATGAAGTCTTCAACCGCAAGCAGCACGACGGTAGCACAGCCAAGAGACCACCACCACCGGCGGCTGTGCGTCGTGTCGCGACGTGAGGTGTTGGTCTGGTTGATTTGCTTCACATTTGTTCATTCGAGGCCCGCTGCGTTGGCGCATATCCCTGCAACCGTAGGGTAGACGCATCATCTAATGGTACACGTACGACAGAGCTGTCAGAACTGTTCTGTTGGGACAGGATCCGATGGACAGCAGTCGTTGTTACAGGGCTGGTTGTCGATTTTCTTTTGTGCTTATTTTTGTCTTGTTTGATGTTTGGTATGCGCATGGTCTCTTTGACCACGGCACGGATTGCGTCATGAGTTTGCTGCATTTGTTGAGCGTGGGTTTCACAGGATACCATTCCCGCCAGGGACTTGAGCACGTTGAGACGATTGTCGAGTTATGTCTTCTTTTTTTCTTGGTTACGAAGAGCCACTCTATTCCTCGGATCGATACATGTTTTGGATCCACGTTACGATACCACCATTTATTTGGAACGAATAATGAAACTAGGGCCCGTTGCCCTCTGCTATTTTTGGTCCAATGCCCGCCACGTGTGAGACTGTTCTGTTTTGTTTTCTGTATTGCTGGCGTCTGGATTATGCAGGGCACGCCCCCTAGGGTCGCAGTGAGGCTTTTGCACGCCCGCATGCGCTGAAGTGTAGACTGATAGTACACCTCCGTTGTGATGTTTGCTTACGCGTCGGGCTGGAGAGGCTGCATTGATGCGGAGTGAGGCTTCGGTGCCGGCTGAACAGTCTCGACAGGCGTGTGGTGGGAGTTGTAGCACCTCGCACCAGGTGTCACGGGCAAGGTGTAAAGCGGATCGCCAAGGACTGCGATGGCACAACGCAAGGCTTCAGATACATGTTGACTTTTTGCTTTCACGATGATTGCACCGGACAGAGGGCAAACAGCCAAGCAGGTACCCGTTTACCTCTGTTGCCATGTGACAGCTGATTTCCGTGGGCACCATGCATGTCATGCCAAGCCAGTAAGTGCGAACCGCTCCGTCTCTCCATATGCAAGTCGTCGTTAGACGCCGTCCGCCGTCACCAAAGCACCCGCCACCCGCCTCACAATCCCCCATCCCATGTCTGCCCGTCGCTGCCCGCTCACCTTTGCCCCCAGGCCATATTGTTCATGTCGCTGAGAATCTTCGGCTTATGATATCATGGCTGCCCTCTATGCCGACGACCGTGACGGGGGTTCTGGCTACTGCTGCATGGTGAGCTGGCTTCCCACTAGCATCATGCCTTGCAGCCATGTGCATACGCAATGGAATTCTCTTGGGCTCCAGTTCCAGAATAACCCTCACCAAACCCCCCAAACTGACAGCTTTTCAAACGGGCGTACGCTGCATGCAGCCCTTGCCCCATTCAGGGTACTGCCAACCGCGCTCTCCACGGCCATGGTTGCTCACCTGAGCTGTACCCACGCAATCCATCAACTCTCCGCATGCAGGATTCGGCTGCGCTTCGCCTTAGCCATGTTCTTGGTTCTCGCATACCCCATCGGCCCGCTCTAGAGGGCGCCTCTCGACCCAATGGCTTGGGTTTCGTTGAGCGGGTGCAAAAAAGTTCGCTGTGCCCCCGTTGAACCAGCTGGCTCTCGACGGCTCCTGGCAGTTGTGTGTGCATCACAGACTAGAAGAGAGTATGACTGACGAAGCAGCTTGCCGCTCATCTCTGTTACTCACTGCTGCCACCGCCTGTCGCTCTGCTACTCATCGAGCCTCTGTCTCCATGTCGGCCGGGTTATAAGTAGCCCTTTTTTGATAACTTCTCCGAGCATCGCTCAGCCCTGGTGTATCAAACTTTCCTTCCCCCACACTCTGTCCATCCTCTTGTTCACAAAGCATTACTCCCTCTTCTTGCTTTCTTTCACGTGCCTCTTATCACGCCTGTTCCAACTGATACTCCTGCTGCCTACAATGACGAGCCCGGATTCGTGGTCACAACGCCTTCGAGGTTGGTATTCCATTTACCCCCCACTCTGCCTGTTGCATTGCACACACACAGTCGTCTGTTAACATGCCTGCTCAGAGCATTGCCTGGTCCGCGGTATACCAGAGCCAACTTATACGGATCTTTCGGATCGCCGAGGTACGGCGGCCCTTCTTACCCACCTTCTCCTGAAAATTTGCAGCACCACCATATTTCTACTTCAGCATCCACCCCTCAGCTTGTTAAGAGAATCAACTAACACACCAGGCCAGGAGGCCGAACTGCATGGACCACCATGGTCTCTGTCAGCGGTACCAATTACCAAGCTCGCTTCTGGTACGATGGCGACTATCTTTCTCAGGCAAAAGAAGACTGCTCCGAGGTTGCGCTCAGGACGATTACTGGATATGTGAATTCTGCGCAGACGCCGCCGCCAGCAAGCCACTATCGTAGCTTGGGCACGCAGATGAATCAGAGTATTACTTCTTGAACGATGGCTGTGACTCGACTGAGCTATGTTTGCTCGGACTCATTGAAATTGGCGCGAAAGATTGAATCAAGTTGATGGGAATTGGGAATATCCAACGCTCGAGTCACAATTTTTTGTGATCGACAATAGTCACTCCTTTTTTGTTTGTTGTTTTTTATGTTGTTATCATTTGGAAGCTGGTGGTCATAGTGGCTTATCGACGTTGTTAACTTGATTTTCTTTTGCTTGGGTTAAGGTAGGAGAAGGGGGGAAACGGGATATGGGGCAATGGGGGGAAACCGGGCCGGGAGGTAAAATTCGTATTTCGAAATGTACTTGCATTCATTTATTTCGCAGTTTGGCTACTTAGCGGCTTGTCACTCGTCTGCCCTGCGTTTGTATCAATACTATATTCCTTTTCAAGCATGGTTTGATTGCTAAATGCCTATCTGTTTCTAACAGATGTTGTTGAACTGTGATGGACACATGATGATTGTGATGGGAAGAGCCTCATCTCACTCACCTTTGCGTATCCCTACCCCAGCGCGTGGATGAACCACCACTAACCCACACAACCCTCAGACGAAAGCAAAAACCCTCGCGCAAACCGCCCAGCCCCAAGATCCGCGCAACCGCCCCCCTCCCCCAAAAACGCCGAAAGCGGAGGGAAAGAAAAAAAAGGACCAGATACTTGCCTTTCCTAGCCCAAACACACACAAACTCCTGTCCTTACCTTCTTTAACCCGCTGCCCGTCACATCACCCTTTGCCCGCTGGCCAACCGGATCAAAACCACTCCGACCACCCCCCAAGCCCCAGTCAAGTGAAGTCAAGTCAAGCCAAGGAAATTTAGCCCCACGCGTTTCCTTTTGTCCCACACCCCCCTTTTCTCGGGGACTCGAGTAGTAGTAAGGATGAAATATACGGGATAGGGATTTGGGATGCGTGGTTGGGTTACATTGGGTACAGTTGGGTTGTAAGCGAGGGAGATGCGCCGAGGAGTGGGGAGTTTGGATATGGTGTGGCTTGGGGAGAGGGATTGAGCGATTGAGGGATTGCGTGGATGTGTGTATGTGGGGGGAGGGAGGAGGAGGAAGGAGGAGATTGTGATCTTACTGTATCAGAGTGCGGTACTATGTGAGTAGGGGAAGATGACGGCTTCACTGTGTCTAATCGTATTATGGTGTGGGCAGAGAGACCCAAAGGTAGTGAGCTTCACTCTCTGCTCCCTCACAGCCTTGCGCGCAGAGAGGCATCTTCAGCCTGGACAGTTCTAGAAGCGTGTCTACTAGGATGATTGTGCAGGTCAGAGACGGGGGGAATTGCTATCCGAATGCGAGTGATAAGCAGGGTCGTCATATGATTGATCAGAGTGACACATGACTGGCAGTTTTGGCCCCCCTTGGCTCTGCGTTTCAATGGGGCTCGCTGACGCCAGTGAGAGCACACGCGTTCCAGGGGTGTCGCCGAATGGCTTCATGGTTCCCGAGGAGATTAAAGGAATTTCTCTTCGTGTAGAAGCTCTAGTCCTGTATCGATACGATGTTGGCTATTGATGCGTGGATAGAGTGGTATCACTGTATCATGGATGCATGGGTGGAAAGCAGTGTAACTGTTGCATTTTGCTAGCTGACGCCTCCAGACCGGCAGACGCAAATCTGAGGCGCATGACTACGAAGGATTTCACTGAGACTAGGCATACAGAAAATGTGAACATTTCCGAAAAAGCAAGTCGTAAATACGAAGTCATGTACCGAGCTACATAGTATACTTTCAGAGACTTCGTGTTCCAGTGGGTACTATATGTAATGCTGTCTCCTTACTCATTCACCCGCTGTCTCCATGCACTGATGCAGATCTTCGGGACAATTCACTCTCCGAACTTAACCCAGCCTTCCCTTTTCCTCCTCAGCGCTTTTTGAACAGTCTGTATTGACATCGATACCCTTGCCTTCCGAGGACCAGCTCACTTGCTGGTCTCTTGCAAAGAAGTTGCCGGATTGGCTCACTCGATCTCTCGCCTAAACACAGACGACCGCTTACGTCTCCAACAATCTTACTCGCTTGTCACGACCGATCCTTTGCCTGCCATGCAGCACCTATTACCGCAACGGACTGCATCTCGCAGTGGCTAGACACGGCTGAGGATAGAGGATAACCGCAATACGGATGACTGTCCAACGCGACGGGCTTACTTGATAGAGACGCTCTGGAGGCTCGGGTGTCACGGAAACGCATTTTTTATCTCGCCAAGGACTATCTGCGCTCACTCCCAAGTCAGCCACACCGAGGACGGCCGCATCCTGTATAGGTTTGATGCCTCCTGTTAACGTGGCCTGTATGTTCATTCTATGGATGAGATACTCGAACATGCACTGATGACTCCTAGCTTGATTACGACATCAGACCACCGAGACCAGAGTCGCGCTCTATCCCCTCGAACACGTCCCTTCGTCCTTTTCAAGCACCTTGCAGCTACTACGATAATGACAAATAGCTCACCAACATGTCGGATATAAAAGCGCCATGAAATGGCACTATAAAGATGAAAGGAGAACGGTGTTGTAGTCATACGTGGCGGCGTACTACACACTCTACAGAATCTACCAATCCAACTCGCGGTATTCATGCATAGCGCTAACGTCTGCGCTGGCTAACAACTGCATCTAGCTCACACAAGCTAACGAATCACACATTTCTTTTGACCGGTCGCGGGAACGCAGAAGGGAACGGATCGTCTGCTCGCCCTTTTACGGTACACTTGGCCCGCAAGTCAGCAACTTCGGGGTTTCGGCTTAGCTCATGCAGTGGGCTCGCACCATATGGGTCGAGGAACACAGAGCAGTGACAGAAACTGCGATTCAATAACAAATGTAAAGTTGGTCCAGATTCATGCCCATTGCTCTTCCGTCATACGACATACAACACGTTTCCATGAGGGTCCCGCCATTCAAGGCCACAACATCGGAGAAAACACAATACACAATGAGGACAGACAGGAATCAAAGGCATTGGAGTGCAGTTGCAATGAAAAGGAAGACAGCGGCGCGGAATTTCCCTCTGATCTACCCCTTTGACACATTGCTGCTTTATCTGGCCGGATGCGGCAATCAAGTGATTATTGAAACCCGCCGGCGAAATATCAATGAAAATTGATATGGTCTTGATTTAGAAGAAGCACAGGCATGGATACATGGCAAAACAGTGGAAGAAGAACAACAGGCTTCATCTGTCACCGAGTGGCCTACGCTTCGTTTCTGCAGATCAGGCATAACGTAAGAGAATATTTTCCAACAAGATTGTGCAACCTGTCAACTTTGAACGGGAAGGACTGTTTTTTTTTTCGAAGCACGGCTGGCAGCGCAGAAACTCTAATAAAATTGCCCAGCTTTCAGGTTGCCGGTCCGACCCGTATCGGAGCGTACCTTCCGCTGATCGCGTGGGCACGTGTGCAGCAACCTCTGTTTTGGGATGAGGACTCCTTTTCGCAGAAACTGAAACTCTTGTGTTATAAAATCGTTACTGGTCATGTGCCACTGATACCGTTCAATCAGAACGAGAGTGACTTGGGAAACTAACGGGAAACGCGGGAAGTGCGGCTGTGACATTCTGTATCTCTCTGCATGAGTGTCCCTGCGGGCGGTGTCACAAACGCACGGGCGTGAAAGTCGCCGATGGGTCCACTGCACGTGGCTCTTGGAGCGCTTGCAGGCAAAGTTCCGGCAAGAAGCATGGCATCATCTCGTATTCTGTTTGTTCCATCTGTTCTATCTCGAAAAAACAAATGTGATCGCTCTACACGACGAGGGGTGTCTGCTTTGTACACCTGCATAGTATACTTTGACGACTAGGCTGTATGCGTCTGTCTGCATCCAGCGTCATAGACCTGTAAACAAGAGACTTCGCGAGTCTTGCTAACCGTGTAGGCAACACGACGTTGACAGTTTTCCTTAGCTACGCTCGGCAACTCCAGTTATCGAGTCTCAGAGAAACCGCATCGGAATTCCACGTTCTATCCTATACACTGCTCGGATTCAACCCCTAGTTCCTTCCAAACGTCTTGGAAAATCGCTTCTGTGCGTTGTTTACCCGATCCTGTCCGCCGCCTGATCGTTCTCGACCCTCATAGTCATCGTAAGCTCGAGATGGAGGAAACGAATATAATCATATGGATATAGTATTTCTGAACGGTTGCACAAATAAGGATGAAATTTCGATGGGAACAACGTGAGCGGCGTCTCAGAGTGAACCTTCGATGTGGTGATGACTGGAAGTACACGCTCCGACGTGTTGGGGCGGAGTTTAGTCCGCGAGCTTTTGCTTAGACTATGTGTACGGACATCAGTTACGACCTTGGGCCAAAACCGATATCTTTCCATTGGTTTGAATCACGACGATGATATGCTGGAAACCTGGTACTGAAATATGGCTTTACCGCGAACTCATCGCAGTCCATGGATCTGCCGACAGTATGCATGAAAATGGGTCGCAGCAAAAGCCCAGTAGTACAATATCTGTACCCGCCTCGTTTACATCGTCATTCTCAGAATCTGGAATTTCTCAGATGCTCCGAACAGCGTAAGTGTAGAAGTCAACCAGGCCCCTTTGCTTACACGAACAAGGTTATTCGACCCTTGGCCTGTCTCAACACCATTCCAACTCCAAAACCCCCATTCGTCGCAGGTTTCCTCCAACACCCTCTCTCAAGATCTTCATCTCCGAATACAGAAAATATTCTAATTATTTTCCGCGTCTACGAGCACAAACCTCGTTGCATAACACACACAACATATACCTTCAGAACACGTTCGCACTCCGTTAGCCTTTGAAAGTCGGGCAATGCTGCACAAATCCTTGTCAGGACATCGCACCCTCACCCGACCCATGCGACATGTTTCGTTAATAATTGAGAGGAGGAACATCGCAGTTCGAACAACTACAAGTGATGTTGCAGCTGAACAAATAGTCCGATGTCAACGGCGGGAGCGCGGGAGCTAGGCACCCGCATCGGCAACCTTAATTATGCCGCTGGGAAACAAGCGGGGATCCGCAACCCAATTGATGACTGAAGGCTTAGAACTGGCCATGAACAGGAGGGGTTCCATTGCCTATGCAATAGAGAACCAATATTTAAATGAACCGTCTCTGTGCGATGTTCAAAGAAGAAAAATCCTACCAAGAAGAAAAAAGCTAAAAACTTTCAACTATTACATATCTAAATCCATTTCGAAGAACAGAATTTTTTTTTGAAAAAAAGCCAACGATCACAACACAACACTCTTTTTTTTAAAAACAAAAAGATACGATCAAAAAGACCACGAAACCCCCCCCAAAATGTCTTCCACGCCATCCCCCCCTCAACCCCCAACCACCGCCTCCCAAGCCTACAAATCCCTCCACGCAACCTCCCTCTCCTTCATCACCGCCCAATCCTTCAACCCCTCCCTCTCAACCCGCATAAACATCCCCCTCCTGTCCTCCCTCTGCACCCCCTCCTTCACCCACACCTTCGGCCACCACCACGCCGTCTCCGCCGCGCCACCCCTCCAAGGCACCTTTTCCTTCTCCGCCTTCGCCGCGCACCTAGGCGCCATGGTGCCGCGGATGGAATCGTGGGAGCTGAGGGTTGCCGATGTGTTGGTTGATGAGGTGCAGATGAGGGGGGTTGTAAGGGTTAGTTATTTTATGAAGGTCAAGGGTGGGGGCGAGGGGCATGTGGTGGAGAATGATGTTTTGTGGGTGTTGGGGTTTGAGAGGGAGGGGGACGAGGTTAAGGTGTGTAGGAGTGTGGAGTTTGTGGATGGGGTTGCGGCGGTGAGGTTGAGGGAGTTGATGGGGAGGTGAATGAGGGGGGGGGGGACTGCAATTTTGAGATTGAAATTGACTGGATTTTTTTGGTTTTTGGTTGGGAAGTTAGAGGATGAATGGTGCTTCCTCACTGCGTTTGGACAGTTGGATTGGACAAAAGGACGGAAAAATGGGTGGATATAGGTTCAATGTCTACCTCTCAATCTGCTCTTTGTATACCATCTGCCCAACTCGGCTCAATGCCACTACACACATCAATATACGCATCCCACCGTCTCATCCGCATCCTCTTTTCCGCCTCCACACTACCCCATTTCTCAGCCGTCCATCCCTCCTCTACACCCTGGGTAGTCCAAAACATAGTCCATTGACCACCAGGTAGATTCCACATACCCTTGCTCCTCTCCTGGTACCACTTGTTAACTGGATTGCTAGTCCGGCTCCTCCACACTACCCCCTCGGGAAAGCAGGTGCGTGTAAGTGCCGCCCATACGATATCCGAGACGCCGCCTGAGCCTTGCGACGATGTCAGGACAGCAAATTTATCGAGATAGGGGATCCAGTATGGTGAGTCGTGGGAAGATGACGGAGGTAGATCGAGTCCCTGGAGGGATCTGGGCGTCTCCCATGTACAGATTGCACCGCCTTCATAGTCACCCGCTATAATGATGCCGGCGACGCGACCACGGATGCGGTCGAGGTAGTTCTGGGGGTGAAGTTTTCTTCGGAAAGAATCGTCAATGAGATCCACGAGCTTGGGAAAGTTGATGCGCGGGTCGTTTGCCAGGTCAATACTCGGGTTTGCGGCGGAAGGTGGCTGCCAGGGCCCATGAGTCCGCGGGTCGGGTATCATGGTAAGTGGAATGCCTTTTTTGAAGAATGTAGCTGGGTTCGGGGCGGCGGATCCTAGAAACTTGGACGTGGGTGATGTTGGTAACGATGAAGAAGTCATGGGCTTGTCGGTCAAGACATTATGCAGTAGAGGGTTTTTCGATGGTGTTGTTCGTGCATCGTCAGGTATGGCCTTGCGTGCAGCCTCGAATGGGGTGAGAATTAGACCAGATGAGGATGGGGGTAGCAGCTTCAGACCACGTTGAACGACTTCGAGGTTTTTCAGATGACGCATAGGAGCTGAACCGCCCAATTGATTGTTCGTCGTGCCTGGAGATGCTACCACCTGTTGTTCAACAAACCTGGAGAAGGGATTACCACTGCCAAGTGATGTGTTTGTCTTGTTTTCATGCGTTTCGTTCATCAGCGAAAGTTGCTGCAGTTCCTGCTTGATGTCGTTGTATTCAGCCTCAAGATTGACAAAGACATGTGCGCCATCTGCACGTTTTTCAGATGGAATACCTCCCAGGGGGTCCAGAATGATGATCCGATCCAAGACAGGCTTATCAGTAGTATCTGCTGTCTTCTTTTCTGTAGCGTCTTGCGAGTCATTAGCATTGGTAAAGCTGGCGATACCAGAAAACTCGCGGATCAATGCAAGCAACACATCGTCTGCCTGAACTCTGACTTTCTTCAGATTTGTGTCGTACGCAAAAGGAGTGATCACAGGGATGACACCTTCGTCAATGGGCGGAAAGAGTAGGTAGTTGTGTTGTACCTGTACCTCTCCACGGACTTGAACGGTACTCGGCATGTTGTTTGTTAATGGGGTGCAGCCCAGGGCATCCTCAACGAGTAATGCGCCAGGTTCATTGTAGTCCTCCAGTGCGGCAACCATGCGTAATGCTTGTTCTCGGACAATGTTGACATAGTCGGACTGGATATTTGTGGTGAATGGGCCCATGTCCTCGTCGCAATCCAATACCACTGCCACGCTGAAACCAAGTTGAGCCATTTGGCTCAACGTCAATGCTATATCACCTAGTACGCGGTCGTCGAGTGTCTGCGGCTGCCGGAGCTTGACCAGCGCCAAGTGTACTGGCTCATCTTTCTCTCCAGCCTGGTACTGCTCTTCTGGGAGTGGTTCGCGTGTAAAGACGGTCGGCTTATATAAGTCGCCCAAATTAACGCCAGTCCGCAACGTCCCTAATTCAGGATTTTTGTTTGCACTAACATTTTGTTTTGCTTGCGCGGCAACACCAGCCTTGCTCTTCTTGGGTGCGTCAAATTGCTTGAGAAAGTTGCGTGCATCGCGTTTTCCTGGCGATTCTTTCAGCAGGCGGGTGAGCTGTTGGCGTTCTGCGCGTTGGCGCTCTTTCGCAGAGCTCGAGGATTTGCGGATATAGGTGGTCGAGGTCGAGAGGTATGCGTATTGGCTCTTTGCCAGTACCTTAATCTTGTCATCGCATTTGGGAAGCTTTGTGTTGTTAGTAACGGCGCGCAATTGTTCAAACCCGCTCAAAATTTCAACACGCACATTCTGCGTAGCCTTCCCCAAGCCCCTCGCGGGGGCTTTCCTCCAGATGAACATACTTCATCCCTCCGTCCAGTTGATTAAACACCAAGGTCCAACGGTATCAAGTGGTTGAGGGCTTAAAGTCGAAATGTATGACTCCGCGAAATGCGTGAATATTTGCGCTCACCCTAAACTTTGATAGTAACGGCAGTTGCACGTCATTTGCTCGCAACCGATATCGGCCCGTTGGCTCTAACCCCGGCAATTGACGGCCCATGAACACCATGACGACGACACGATAACTGTGCAACACCCATTGAGGATATTCAAATAGTATCGAATCCGCGTCTTCTTCAAAAAAGCAAACACATCTCACATCTGTTCCGAAGTATTCTAGAAAACATGGCCCCGCAACTCGCTTGGATTGGCCTCGGCAACATGGGCAGGGCAAGTCTAGCCGACTACGTTTATTCACAATGTCACTAATCAGCACAGGGCATGTAAGTTTACGTCCTTAGTGGAAGATTCTTGGCACCATCACAGGTTGTGCTGTTAAATGTCCAAGAGCAGTGGAGCGATGGTGACTGCTGAGTCGTTGAAAGTACACTAACCAAACACCCACTACCAGGTGCAAGAACCTCGTGGAGAAAGGTGACCTTGACAAGCCTCTAATTCTCTACAACCGTACCAAAGCCCGCGCCGAGGACCTCTCGCAGAAGCTTGGCACTTCCAAGACCAAAGTCGTCGATAATGTCAGCGATGCCGTCAAGACTGCCGACATTGTCTTCATGTGTCTTGGCGATGATGCCTCAGTCAACACTACCGTGGATGCTATACTGCAAGAAGATGTAAAAGGCAAAGTCATTATAGACTGCTCGACAGTACATCCAGACACCACCAACGGCCTGGAGCAGCGCATCAACGAGCACGGCGGAGAATTCGTTGGCATGCCTGGTACGTAAAAGCCCCATGAACGTACCAAGACCAACCCTTCACCACGATCCAGACTAACAATCATGTTTGCGCACAAAGTCTTCGGCGCCCCAGCCATGGCAGAAAACGGCCAGCTAATCTGCGTCGTAGCGGGCAAAAAGCCCGCTTGTGACAAGGTAACTCCCTACACCACAGGCGTAATGGGCCGCACGACAATCGATTACTCGTCCCAACCCGCCGGCAACGCCACGCTCCTGAAGGTGATCGGCAACACCTTCATCCTAAACATGGTCTCGCAGCTCTCCGAAGGCCACGTTCTAGCTGAGAAGTCCGGCCTGGGTGTCGATAACCTGCATACATTCATCTCTGCCTTGTTCCCTGGCCCCTACACAGCCTACTCGCAGCGCATGCTAGTCGGCGACTACTACCAGCGCGAGGAACCGCTGTTCCACGTGGATCTCGCACGAAAAGACGCGCGCCACGCTATGGCAATTGCGCAAAGTAGCGGCGCGGCGGATAGCATGAAGATGCTTGCGCTTGCGCAGGCACGCTTGGATGTCGTAAAGAGCGAGTTGGGCGATAAAGGTGATATACCGAGTATATACGGGGCGGTGCGCAAGGAAAGTGGTTTGGATTTTAAGAATAAAGATTAGATCACTCTCTTTCTACTAGTACAAATCGTTTTATCAAACTCACATATATACTTTACTACCTACACTCCTTCTTCTCCTCGTACAAACCCGTGTTCTTCACATCCTACACACACACACCCATCATGTGACCCCGTATCCCTCCCCCCCTGACAAAACTTACCGCCTCATCGGAGCTTTTACCCAACCCAACCCAACCCCCCCCCCCC